ATTGCCATATATTAATGTGTAGATATCTTGAATTTGTTGGCCTCTAGAGACAACAAACCTTTGTACGTTGAATGAAACTTCCTCCCATTAAAGTTGACCCACAAAGTAATGTATCCATATACAAACAAACACCCAACCCCTAAAACTAATACCACAGGCAAAGGCAAAATATCTTGCTGATCAATTTTGTCTTCTACGTCTTCAATTCATATTTGCCTGATCTAGCTCTAGAGAATAGTCAAATTCCCACCCAGTTGTCGTAAGAATATAATAATAATCATACACGGAATCATCACGTTTCCTCTACTGTACGTCTAATATGTTAATTTGGTTTGCTTCTGTGTTTTGGAAACTCATTTTGTTCCTCGATCGGGCCTGTTCAAAATATTTAGTGAAGCTAGGTTGGTTGGGATTATATATATATTCTCGTTCAGCATTGTGATCGCATACTAAACAGTTGTTACGACCTGAACAAACATATATCTGAATATCATTTCTCTCATAACGAGTACACTGTACAAACAGAAATTCTAATCCGCAACGGGTGATCCAGGAGCGCCTTGACCGGGCTTTGGTCTCGGCCGGTTGGCTAGATCAATTGCCTGATTCGGCTCTCCATCATCTTTCTGACCAAGAGTCGGACCATAGAGCACTGTTATTGGCCACGGAATCTGTCCAACGTCGGGGAAAGAAGCTCTTTCGCTTTGACGCTAGGTGGTGTGAGAATCCAGAAGTTCGGGACATTGTCCAGGAGGTGTGGGATATGAGCTTTGATGGTACCCCTATGTTTCGTCTATGGTGCAAACTTAAAGCCCTCAGGCACCGGTTATATGAATGGAGTAAGCTTGGTAAGAGTAACTCCGAACGGAAAATTCGGAGCCTCCAACGGGAATGGGATGTTACGAGAGGCGCTATTGATGTTGACTGGGGAAAGCTTCGAGAGATTGAAAGCCATCTACGCGCGGCTTGGGTGGATGAAGAGATTTATTGGCGACAAAAGTCCAGGGTGGGTTGGTTGAAGGAGGGTGATCAGAATTCTTCCTATTTTCATAATGTTACTAGGGCCCGTCGTCGCCATAATTACATTCATAGTCTCAAAGACCCCGCGGGAAATTCGGTGACGTCGGAGGAGGGAAAAGCTCTAATTGCTAATGATTTTTATACCCATCTGTTCACGTCGGGAGGTTTGGACTCTCAGTCAGTTTTGGAGAAGGTGGGGGCGCTGCAGATTGAGAGAAGAGTGACGGATCGGATGAATTCTAGGTTGACTGCCGAGGTCTCTCCGGAGGAGATTCGCAACAGCGTTTTTCAAATCGGAGCTACGCAGGCACCAGGATCGGATGGGTTCACAGGAGTTTTTTATCGGAAGTTCTGGGAGATAGTGGGTCCTTATGTGATTATGGCGGTCCGACATTTTTTCGATACTGGCTCCCTCCTGAAAAACTGTAATCATACTTGGCTGGTGCTCCTTCCAAAGGTTGATAATGCTGAAAATATGAGGGATCTTCGGCCCATTAGTCTATGTCAATTTGCCTATAAGATCATTGCGAAGATTTTAGCTGAGAGGCTTGCTCGATACTTACCATCAATTGTCTCTCCAGGGCAGAACGGTTTTGTACGAGGCAGGCAAATCGTGGATAATGTTCTTATAGGGCATGAGGTGATGCAGTACCTGAAAAATAAGAGGGTGGGAAAACAGAGTTTCATGGCCGTCAAGGTGGATATGGAGAAGGCATATGATAGGGTGGAATGGCCATTTTTGTTCGCATTGCTTGAGAAACTTGGTTTCAGTGCGCAATGGATTAGATGGCTTCGGGTTTGTGTGTCTTCTTCATCGTTCTCTGTTCTCATGAATGGTCAGCCGTCTGGTTATTTCCAAGCTTCGCGGGGACTTCGACAAGGTGATCCGTTGTCGCCGCTTTTGTTTGCTATTTGCACAGAAGGCTTTGCTGCTCTGCTTAGACAAGCGTTATCGTCTCGTGCTCTTTCTGGTCTTCGTATTAGTCCCAGATGTCCTGTGATCTCGCACCTATTTTTCGCAGATGATTCATACCTGTTTCTGCGAGCTTCTCGAGCCGAATGTGCTAGTCTCATGGTTCTCTTGCACCAGTATGAGGAGCTCAGCGGTCAAAAGGTAAATTTAGATAAGTCGGCAGTCTGCTTTAGCAGGAATGTTCTTCCACGGGATGCACAAGAGATGGGGGCAGTTACTTGGGATTGGAGCTATTGGTGTAACGGATCAATACTTGGGTCTCCCTTCTCTGGTGGGGAGGTCGAAGTATGATACGTTCCGATATATAGAGGAAAGGGTCATCCAAAAACTCCAGGGATGGAAGCAGCAGTGTCTTTCTTGGGCCGCTAAAGAAGTTCTTCTGAAGGCAGTTGCTAATGCTTTACCCATTTATGGGATGTCTTGTTTCCTGTTCCCTCTGACTCTATGTCGTTCTCTAGATAGACATTTGGCTCGGTTTTGGTGGGGGGTTAAACAAGGGGAAAGGCGGATCCATTGGGTTTCTTGGAAAGCGATGTGCCTCGGTAAGCAGGAGGGTGGGTTGGGTTTCCGTAGATTTGAAGAGTTTAATCAAGCTCTTCTGGCTAAGGTGGCCGGGCGAATCTGGAAGGATCCCAATTCCTTGTTGGCTCGAGTGTATAAAGGGAAATACTTTCCCAATTCAAGTATCTTGAGTGCAAGGACTGGGTCTCTCACATCTTGGGGATGGCGTGGCATTCTTCGAGGGCGTGATCTGCTTCTCCAAGGGCTTCGATGGCAAATTGGGTCAGGGGATTCAGTAGAAGTGCTCACTGATAATTGGGTGCCAGCTCTACATCCGTTTCCCCCCAAACCGCGACAGGGTATTATTGGAGTGGAAGGCAAAGTGGCGTCTTTGATTTGTCCTAATCAGGGTGTCTGGAGGGTGGATTGCCTTCGTCAGATCTTTGAAGAAGACACGGTTAAAGCTATCTTGGCTATTCCTCTCCCCATTAAGGTTGTGCCAGATCGCCTGGTCTGGGATGGAGAAATCTCTGGATGTTATACTGTCAAATCAGGGTATCACAAGGCGTCGAGTTAAGACGGCAGAAGGAGCTGCAGGTGAATGCAGTCGCTCTATCCTGGGACCGTAGCCTGTGGAAACGAATTTGGGCCACTCCGATACCGCCTAAACTGCGGTATTTTATTTGGCAGCTTGTCCGGGGTGTCTTGCCAACTGGTGAGGCACTGAGTACTCGCGGGATGGAGGGGCTGGAGCCATGTCCAGTCTGCGGGGAGGAGGTGGAGTCTCTTGAGCATCTCTTCTTCCGATGTCGTGTAGCGCTGCAGCTCTGGGAGGGGGCCGAGCTTCACCTGCTGAGAGATCGGTTCCCACTTAACAATATAAGCATCTTTTGGCGCAGGGTTCTCGAGGAAGGCAATTTGGACCGGAGCACGCTGATGCGGGTGGTGGCTCTTTTTTGGCGTGTTTGGCGGGCGCGAAATTGGGTTGTGTTTGATTTCACTCAGTTCATTGTCCCTGTTTTGCTTTCTCAGTTTCGTTCGCAGGTCACAGAGTGGGATTCCGTTCCTGATAATCAACAAAGGCCGCCTTTTCCAGGTCCTGGGGGTCCTCGCCTAGCGGTTAGAGAGTCAGTCCCGCCTGGGGAGTTAGTGTTGTTTGTTGATGGGGCCACGCTGCGTGGTTCCCATGGGGCTGGAGGTTGGGTTTTGCAGGAACCATCGGGCGTGGTGGTGGCGGCTTCAGCGGCCTTGTATGTGGGGATTTTTGATCCCTCCTTGGTGGAGCTGTTAGCTTTTCGGGATGCGATTCGTTGGTGTTTGGCACGAGGTCTTCATTCTATCGTCTTTGCTGGGGATGCACAGGTGGTGATTAGAAGGATTCGAGAAGGTCAGGTTGATGATGTTCAGGGTGGCACGGTTTTGGAAGAAATTCGATGCTTGACGGGCTCGTTTTCGGTGTTTGATATTCGGTTTGTTGGTAGGGATTGTAACAGGGTTGCCCATTTGGTGGCAAGAAAAGCCCTTTCGTTGTTCCCTCACTTAGGAGGGTTCGATTTTGTTTCTTGGCTGTTTTCAGCTGTGTGACTTGTTATATCTGGCTTTCTCGGTAATACGAGTTATCTTTTGGGAAAAAAAAAGAGTACACTGTACAATTAAGCCACTTTTTTTTTTAAATATATAACTATAGCAATGAAGCCACCCTAGTCCCTATACCAAAATCTTCCAAACAAAATAACACTCACTTATTCTTCAGTCTTCACCCAGCCGGCCAGCTGGCTCATACTTTTGGAAAGTAGGTCATCGATCGTCAGCCCTTCAGCGTTCATGTCCACCACCACACTCGCAACCTTCGAACTGACCCTGCAGCAGCTATCAATTTGTCAGCACTTCAACTAGCTGAATTAGTGAAACCCTAAAGCAGAATACAGTATTCAACGCGCGCGCGCGGATAGAAACCCTAAAGCAGAACGTAACCCAGCCTGAAAGCACAGCTGATATACAGAAACAGAATCCTTTCTTGAGTTGAAGACCTAGTCTTGTAGCTATATATATATCCCCACCACCACAAAACAAAAGCGATCGAGAGCCAGCCAGGGCTGTACTTACAGCGGGAGGAGGAGTACTCCCGCCGCCGCCGCCATCTTCTTCTTCTCCTCCTCCTGCTGCAGTCGGTGGAATCTCACGTTTCGACGACAAACCCTCCATCGTCTTCTTCTTCTTCTCCTGATTGTGAACTGCAACCTTTTCCATCAGCCACACCCATCCCACCAATACCACGGTGATGATGATGGTGGTGATGATGATGATATGGTGATCAACTTCTTTCCGGCCGAGCAGCAAGTCGTTCAATTTCTTCCGCATGTACTCCGCTATCTGCTCCACCGTCTCAGCCTCGGACCTGCACATACCATAAATTATAAGACTTTTCTCATATAGGTCTATAATTGAACCTCTCTCAACAACTCGAATTATTAAAGCCAACTGATCATGGATGGGTTTACTTTGATTACATTTGATCGGTGATTTCCCAGCCGGCGATATGGGAAATGGAATCGAGAGCGTGAATCCAGCTGGCCACCCTCTCGTAGCTGTAGCGCAGCTTGTGGCGGTCCAGGTCGGCCTTGTAAAGCCCGGACGAGGACGGATCGGCAACGTCGTCGTCGGGGGAGACGCCCTTGAAGATGGGGAAAGTCCGGTGTCGTCCCTTCTCCCTGCTCTGCATGATCTGGACCAGCTCGTCGAGGCAGTACTCCGACGAGGCGAAGCCCGGAGTGAGCACGAGGAGGGAGAAGACGGACTCGTCGATGGCCCGTGAGATGGCCTCCGTGACCTTCTCGCCGCGGGGGAGGTCCCGGTCGTCACGGAAGACCTTGATTCGCTTGCGGCGGAGGGCGGAGTCGAGGTGGTCGGCGAATTTGTGGCGGCCATCGGGTCCCCGGTGGCTGAGGAAGACGTCGTAGCGAGGACGACGACGGTCCCCGTTGGCAGGGCAGATGGCGCCGCTGAGATCGAGCAGGAGAATTAAGAGCAGTGCTGCTGAAGCCCCAGTTGATGGTGGATTATTTGTGGTCATTGAGATGATTTTTACAGCAGGTCCTTCTTCTCTGCGCGTTCTTCTCTCTAACTAACGAAGGGCGATCGAGGAGCCAAATTTTATAGAGTGGAACTGGAAGTGAGAGAACTGAGCAGTTAAATTAGTGAGAGAAGTGAGAGAACTGTTTATAGAGAAAATCTTGAGTGCACTAGGTGTACCACCTCACCCGTGAACCGCCCCAATAAGATCATGCCACGTGTTTATATGATTTATATCATTAATTAATACTCCTAGGAAAAGAATAGCCACAGAATGAGAAAGGCGGATCCCCTCCAAGCCTTTGCCATAGCTCGACACCTTCATAATCGACGATGGTTATCTACTTAAACTTTTATATCTATTTCTAGGAGCTCTGTGTAATCTCTAGTGATTATGATCTCAAGAGTCAAGATGGCCTTGATGGGCATAGAGAAGAAGTCTTCCGTCGTCGAAGACATTGATTGTAATTCCGGGCTCCGTAGCTGTTCCAACTTCATGGACGGCTCTCGTCCACCGTCGAACTCAACCTCGTCTTCACGATTTGTACTAATCTGGCACCAAATTCAATTCTTATTTGTATTTTGATTCCTATTATCCGATCAACCTCTTTAGCCTCTTTGACGAACCCGGACGCCGGAGCCCTTCCAAATCCATCGCGGTCCGATCTGCACCATATGAAGAAGCTTTGGTGCTTCATTTGCATATAGCTGATCTCTCCTTTGTTGGGGGATTTTGTCGTCAGTAGATCCCGGACAGTTCGAGGTCGCAGAGGATGTCGACGGCGGCGGCGGAGGATTCGCCTCTCTTACTCCGCTATTCTTTTCCTGGGAGTATTAGTTAATGATATAAATCATATAAACACGTGGCATGATCTTATTGGGGTGGTGCACGGGTGAGGTGGTACACCCGGTGCACTCAAGATTTTCTCCTGTTTATAGAGTGGAAGTGGGAGTGAGATCCAGAAGTAAAATAAATAATGTTAAATTAGTGCTGGGGTCATGATTAGGGATAAAAAAATCTGCTTTTTACTTTTTCCCAAATGAACATAGTCTAGGGTTTCAAATTCTATAGACAGACATGCTTCCACGTCTATCATCACTTTAAACTCTCCTTCTTCTCTAACACTATGTTCATTTGGAAAGGAAAAGGAGGGGAGGGTAGGAATTGGGTGGAAAACAACATTCCCAATGAGCTTACAGACCAGAAAGGGAGAGTGGAAAATAAGACCAAAAGGAATTGAGGGAAATGTTGTTTTCCCTCACTGGTCTGCATGTGGAGTCCCAATGATCTCTCCAAAATGTAGAGAAAAGGAAGGAAAGATGTTTTTTTCTTCTTTCTATTGACTCTTCGGGGACAATATGGCCCCACTTAACTTAGATTTTGCTCATAGGGATCTCAATATGGCCCACTTAACTTTTAATTAAAAATATGGCTCGCTTACTTAGTTACCTAGTCGTTGATTTTCATTCAATTATATGTTAATTAGGTTGATTCGTATATGTTCACAATATTTTGGTTATTCATTATTGATGATATTGTTGTAACACATTTTTCAAAAAAGTTAATACTCATTACGTAAAAAGGTTACGGAATGATAGTTATTTCTTACATAACAGTTAAATCAGAAGCGTTACGTAAGGCTTCCATAATGACTTACCACTTTACGTAACACAAAGTTAATACTCATTACGTAATAAGACCTTCCATTACGCAAAGGTTACGGAACGACAGTTATTTCTTACATAACAGTTAAATCAGTAGCGTTACGTAAGGCTTCCGTAACGACTTAGCATTTTACGTAACACGTGGTTAATAATCATTACGTAAAGACGCATTCTATTACGTAAGGCTTCCGTAATGATCTTTTACAACTGTTACGTAAGATTATCATATGTTACGTAACCATTATGTAATGCCTATTGTATTTTACGTATTACGACCTGTTGAACTTGGTCTTCACGATTTGTACTAATCTGGCACCAAATTCAATTCTTATTTGTATTTTGATTCCTATTATCCGATCAACCTCTTTAGCCTCTTTGACGAACCCGGACGCCGGAGCCCTTCCAAATCCATCGCGGTCCGATCTGCACCATATGAAGAAGCTTTGGTGCTTCATTTGCATATAGCTGATCTCTCCTTTGTTGGGGGATTTTGTCGTCAGTAGATCCCGGACAGTTCGAGGTCGCAGAGGATGTCGACGGCGGCGGCGGAGGATTCGCCTCTCTTACTCCGCTATTCTTTTCCTGGGAGTATTAGTTAATGATATAAATCATATAAACACGTGGCATGATCTTATTGGGGTGGTGCACGGGTGAGGTGGTACACCCGGTGCACTCAAGATTTTCTCCTGTTTATAGAGTGGAAGTGGGAGTGAGATCCAGAAGTAAAATAAATAATGTTAAATTAGTGCTGGGGTCATGATTAGGGATAAAAAAATCTGCTTTTTACTTTTTCCCAAATGAACATAGTCTAGGGTTTCAAATTCTATAGACAGACATGCTTCCACGTCTATCATCACTTTAAACTCTCCTTCTTCTCTAACACTATGTTCATTTGGAAAGGAAAAGGAGGGGAGGGTAGGAATTGGGTGGAAAACAACATTCCCAATGAGCTTACAGACCAGAAAGGGAGAGTGGAAAATAAGACCAAAAGGAATTGAGGGAAATGTTGTTTTCCCTCACTTGTCTGCATGTGGAGTCCCAATGATCTCTCCAAAATGTAGAGAAAAGGAAGGAAAGATGTTTTTTTCTTCTTTCTATTGACTCTTCGGGGACAATATGGCCCCACTTAACTTAGATTTTGCTCATAGGGATCTCAATATGGCCCACTTAACTTTTAATTAAAAATATGGCTCGCTTACTTAGTTACCTAGTCGTTGATTTTCATTCAATTATATGTTAATTAGGTTGATTCGTATATGTTCACAATATTTTGGTTATTCATTATTGATGATATTGTTGTAACACATTTTTCAAAAAAGTTAATACTCATTACGTAAAAAGGTTACGGAATGATAGTTATTTCTTACATAACAGTTAAATCAGAAGCGTTACGTAAGGCTTCCATAATGACTTACCACTTTACGTAACACAAAGTTAATACTCATTACGTAATAAGACCTTCCATTACGCAAAGGTTACGGAACGACAGTTATTTCTTACATAACAGTTAAATCAGTAGCGTTACGTAAGGCTTCCGTAACGACTTAGCATTTTACGTAACACGTGGTTAATAATCATTACGTAAAGACGCATTCTATTACGTAAGGCTTCCGTAATGATCTTTTACAACTGTTACGTAAGATTATCATATGTTACGTAACCATTATGTAATGCCTATTGTATTTTACGTATTACGACCTGTTGAACTTGATATAACAGGTAAAAAAATTCAAGTTAGCTTACTTCAAGTTACCCTATGAAATCCCTAAAAACTATTTCATTTTCCCAACGACATGTATTTTGCATTCGTGTGAAAGACAACATGTCATCCCTATAGCTTTAACTGCAAGGAAAATAAGTCGTCCCCTAAATATTATTTCCAGGGACGAACAATTGTCCCTTAACTTGTGTATTAGGGGACGAGGAATTGTGACTTATGCAATTTCTAGGAAAGACTAATTGTCCCCTATATAACTCGTATGAACGACTTGTTGTCGTTAGCATTTGTATTTGGGGACGCCTAATTGTCATCGGTATCGCTTGTGGGGACGACCAATTGCCCCTTACCCAGTATTTTCGGGGACATCTCATTGTCACTTATTAACTGGTAGGGACGACCGATCATCCCTTAAGCGGTCTTTAGGAGTGTCAATTTGTCACCTATATAACTTATAGGGACAACAAGTTGGCTTTAAACTTTATATTTTGGGACAACTAATTGTCTCCCATAATTCCTAGTGAATGATCAAACTTTTTAGTGATGACATGCTGGCATAATAGATCGAAATGTCTTCAAATAATCTTTATAAATAACTTCCAGCAAACCTGCTAGAATATTATCCCAATCCTTAATAGAAGAACCAACATTCATTGGATGAGAGAGTAAATATTTATTACAAAAACTATATATCGTACAATCTAAAAAGGATATAGCAAGTGCCAATTCTCAAATTATTTTATCTCATAATAAAAGTACTATCTTATCTTCTCAACACCATAAATTGGTATGGCTCACAAACATCCTTCTTCTCTCAGTTCCTGAAATGTAATTAAAAAGAATTAAAAAATTAAACTTCTAAGCTACAATAACTGTATCAAATTCACAAAAACAAAATTTTGTCGAAACTAAGTAATCCTGTAACAAAGTAAATTATTAGTTTATGAACAAGGAAACAAGAAAGTAAGCAAGAAAAAGAGAATAAGAAGAAGAAAAACACAGATCTATAAGTTGTGCATGTGCCGCTAGCAGTGGGCAAACAAAACAAAAAAAGCGATGGAAAGCAACTCACAGTCTCACTATAGAGCAGTAGCTGATGCACAAAAGAAACTATAACATAATAATTATATATCATCTAATCACTACTTCAAAACTTAACTTAACTTAGGATGAAAATCCTAAGTCGGTTATCTTAGGTTTTACTATCTACAAAAACCCTAAACCCTTTTTTGAAAATTTTTGCCGATAGGCATTCTTTTGAAAATTTTAGCTAATTGGCGGATTCATTCCTGCCCATGGAAAATCAGGCTTTAAGGCGGGAGGGGTTACGGTGCTAATTGTACAATAGTTAGCACCCTCCTAACCAAGGGAAAAACTACTACTAGTTTGAATTAGTAGTAATTTAGTTTAGATGCTGTATTGATTTTATAATAATCCGTAGTGATTTTTGCTAGTTATCACGGTGCTAACCCTTATAAGGGTTAGCACCTAATCCCATCCGCTTTAAGGCTTAAGATCAATTAGTGGAGCCCGGAAAGCCCGCCAAGATCTTTTATTTTTCTTGTAAACCCGCGGAAACTTTTCACCTTCCTTTGGGAACGACTAAAAAAAGCTCAATTCAATTAATTAATTAACACTTAATCTATGGAGACAGTTTTAGGGTTTTGTCTCCTAAATTACTTATTATTCTGTTTCCGGAGACAAAATAATATAGTTGTCTCCTATATTTCGTACTAATCTCCTATATCTAAAGTGGTCAAGATCGTCAGGTTCTATCCTATCGTTCCCAATTACGACGTACTGCTGGGTCCTCATCCTCGTGAGCAATTCGTGGCCATGTTAGGCAGTCAAGCCAAGCCATCAATGTATTCCGTCTCCTTTCAGAAAAATAAGAATCAAAACCAATTATACTAAACCAATTTATTGTATCTTTCAAAATTAAAAACATATAAGTGACAAAAAAATCTGAAACTATAAGGACTTTTCCACTGTGGTTAGCAAGCCCACTAATTTTTTCTTACATATTTATTTGGTAATTGATACTTTGATTTTCATGTTTGGATTATTTTCATTCGAGTTTAATAATTAGTTTAGTTTTTATCTATCTTATAAATGAAGGATAATTTTAAAATCGTAACCCAAATATCATTGATTTGAATATTCTTTATCAAACTATAATATTAAATATGTAAAAGCAATGTAGAATTCTTACTAAATTAGCACTTTCCATCAGGAATTGTGGAACCATTATATTGAATTGGTAGTGTTCCTACTAATGCAACAACATAAGAAGAATTTGTCTTTAAAATTACCAGTTAGATAATATATGTGCTATTATTAGTTTGATTAGATCAAACGTTTGAACTTAATTTAAGGCTAACTTTGATGAATTTAGTTAAGGTGATTGCTTAGTAATTTATTCGTAAACTCATCTATATGCGTAAAGTTACATTATTGTTGATTATGGATGACTACTAACTAACTCTCCATCGAAGCTTGGCTATAGTTAGGTTTCCACATGAGTTCATGCAAATGAATTTTAAGCATAACTCCGATATATGTGATAAGTGAATGTTCAATGGGATAGATTCTACATATAAATATAAGTGGAGAGATAGGAATGGATTTAGTGACCATATTTAAGTGAAATTCGGGTTTGTTTACTTTTATGGTGAGAGTTAGAATCAACAAATTCTTCTTTGTATCAATATTTCATGTAGTCATTTATTAAAGTTCTTTAAAGGGTTTAACAACTAGATTCCTAACAAATTAACTGCAAGTGCAACTCGGCTTCAACTTTGTAGCGATTCTCCAATTTTGTTTGCATTATTTGCAGCCCAATGGTCATTGAGATGATTCCATTATGTGCTTTTGACTTTTTGTAGACTGCTCCATGTGTTTCTAGGTGGTTGAATCGTACTGTCTCTCTCAAAGTCTTAAAACTTTTGATTTTTGAACACTGAGCTCCTGTTTATTTCCTAATATCAATTCGTGTAGTGCATGTTTTTTTTTTTTTGTCTGTTTCTTATTTTTCAGTTCATTGGGAAGCTGTTTTTGTGTGTCGAGGTTATGGTACCTCTCCTAATCACATATCCTTGCATATTGCATAAATATATTAGATTAGAATTATAGTATATTACATCCAATAATCATGGTTTATCCCGGGCTCGGTGCTAGTATTCTAAGATTTAGATCTGCACTTCAACGGAGTTTTTTAAGTTTTTTTTTACGGTAATATGTAGGAATATATTAATCAGATGTTGCGGTTACATTGTCCAACACTATCTGATCAACTAGAAACATCGGTGGTCTATCAAACCAGATCATACTCTCATTCCACCTCGTCTCCGAGTGGGACATAATGTGAGCAACCTTATTTCCTTCTCTAGGCGAATATTGCCAACTCCCCTGTCCCATTTCGTCAAGGAGCTTCAGGATGTTCTTGCATATAATGCCAACTTCATTACGGATACTCCCCGCTGCCGCTAACTTGGAAGTTAGCGTCTGGCAATCTGTTTCCAAGATCACATTCGTCAGATGAGCGCGAGCAGCAACATGTAACTCGAACTCCGCGGCTAGGGCTTCAGCCATCTCCGTCTCCCACCTACCAGGGAGCTTCTTTGCAGCAGCTAGGATAAACTTCCCCCCAGCGTCCCGAATAACCGCACCAAGACCGATACCACCAGTTGAAAAAACTCATGCATCTGTGTTTAACTTCACATAGTCATACCTTGGTTTCTTCCAACACTTCACCACAGCGGGTTCAGGTAGCTTCTCTTCTACCCTCTGCTGCGTTCGGTACTCCTCGATGAAAGCCTTTGCGCGGGGCACAATCGCACTCTCCTCCATTTTTTGGCCATTAAACATTTGGGCATTCCTTTCCCGCCATATAAACCAGAGGAGGACGCACCAATCTTCCACCTCAACAATCGGTTTCGTCTCCAGCACCTTCTTAAACCAGGAATAGCTGCACTCCGTCCCTCTCCACAGTCTAGAAGACCACGCACAGTCGCCAAAAATATGGGCTTGTGTCTCTCGATCATCACAAAAAGGGCACCTGTCTCCCCATCTTGTACTTTTTACGCTTATGTGATCTCCTGTAGGTAGAATTTCCCTCGAGAAGCGCCATAGGAAATGCTTTATCCTTGGTGCAATTTTCAGTCCCCACAGCCCTTTCCTAGGGGTGTTCAAACGGTTTGGTTACCATGGTAACCGTTTTAACCGGTACTATTTGGATAATTTGGTTTGGTTAATTTGGATAATTAGTTTGGTTTGGTTAAAGTTTTTAGCTTGTTTGGTTTAGGTGGTTTGGTTTGGTTTCAGACCCTCCTAACCAGTCAAACCAAATTAACCAGTTAAGTAATTAGTCATATATCTAACATATATTATATACACATACTTAATACTTTGCATAAACACTCAAGAGTTAACGTTCATCCCTTTTAGACTCATAAAATATAAAGCTCAATATTGCTCATATACTGTATATTTGTATATGTAAAATGTAGACCACAACATATGGACGCCTAATTTAGATAAATTTCATACATTATGATGGATGAAAACTTGAACGGAAGGTCATTTCCAGCCTATGATAATTGCTAAGAGACTAAGTCAATTTACACAAACACAACAATTCATTAACCCATACCATTGTGATAAATTTTTGTTAGTTGAATACTTCTATACTAATCGTAAGATAATTGTCTTAGTTGCATGTATTTTTGTTAAGGGTCAACTATAACTACGTGTTGGTTGTTATGTTTTATTCATTATATAAATTGTGAATTGTTGCATTAACCGGAAAATTTTCATCGTCAATGATAATGTGATTTTATATTGGTTAATCTAGTTAACCAAATTAACCAAACCGAATGTGATTTTATATTGGTTAATCTGGTTAACCAATTAACCAAACCGATTAAACTTTAGTTTGGTTAATTTGGTTGTTGTATTAGTATGGACGGTTTGGTTATGATATTGTATTCCATGGTTAATGGAATTTGGCCTTATTTGGTTTTGTTATAACCATGGTAACCATTTGAACACCCCGGGCCTTTCCAAACTTCCGTCTCCCCGACCTGCACAATCGATTCCCTGGCTTTGAATTCCTCTAACCAGTAACGGTACCCGTCTCGAATAGTATAATCGCCCGAGTTGCTTCCCCTCCAGATCAGCCTATCTTTTTCCTCGATATCACCTAGAGGAATTTGCCAAATAACATCAACTATCTCTATCGGGAAGCAGCCCTCAAGAACTGCCTCGTCCCACCTGTCTGATTCCGTCGATATTAGCTCACGAACCGTGGCGTCAACCGGGAGCCCCATAGGAGTTGACTCCACAAAAGAGACAGGGTCGGTGGGCAGCCATCTATCTCCCCAAACGCGGATTGAGGCTCCGTTACCTACTCTCCAGCGTAGACCATCATTCAAGAAAGCCTGAGCACCCATTAAACTCCGCCAAATGAAACTTGGATGGTAGCCCACTGATGCGTCCAGGATAGAACTATTTTATGATACTTAGCACACAAAATCCGCCCAATCAGCGAGTCAGGTCGTTCGTACAATCGCCATAGCTGCTTTGCGAGCATTTCCGTGTTGAAACCCTGAATATCTCGGAAGCCTAAACATCCTTCCTCCTTTGCACATATCATCTCCTCTCTTCTTAGCCAATGCACTCGCCTTTCCACTCCTCGTTGACCCCAATAAAAATTGCCAATGAGTTTATTGATTTCCTCCACCACAAGAGCAGGAATCCAAAAATACCGACATAGCATAGGTGAATTGTGCTTGTTCCACCGATTTAATCAGTACTTCTCGACCCGCAACTGAGAGCGACCTTTCTTTCCAGCTCTTTAGTTTCTTTCTAATTCTCTCCAAGATACCCTAAAAAATGTCTTTCTTTGAATGCCCCACCACAGTCGGTAATCCCAAATATTTCTCATGCTTGTCCACCGGCTTCATTCCCAGCTCACCACTGATCGTTAGACGCAAGTGCATCTTCACATTACCACTGAAAGAGACTTCAGATTTTTGGAAACTAACCTGCTGACCCGACTCACGCTCATAAGCTCACAAAATTTCCTTCAAAGTGCTCGCCTCATTGACAGTCGCCTTTCCAAAGAAAACGCTATCATCGGCAAAGAAAAGATGGGTAATTAAGGGTGCCCCTCTTGTCGGGGAGAAACCATGAAACTTATCATCAGGAACAACCCTTTTTGTAAACGCGGAGAGGCCCTCGGCACAAAGCAGAAAAAGGTATGGAGATAAAGGATCCCCCTGCCGCAATCCTCTTTCTGGGCTAAAGCTCTATGACTGATGCCCATTTACCAAGACTAAGTAGGACACTGTCCGTACACACATCATAATCCATTATATCCATTGGTCCGCAAAACCCATCTTCTGCATAATTCCTTCGAGGAACCACCACTCCACCCGATCATAAGCTTTCGCCATATCGATTTTTGCTCCAAAATAACCTCCCTTGCTAGACTTGCCAATTTTCTTCATCAATTGGAAGCATTCGAAAGCAGCCATGACATTATCCGTTATGAACCGCCTCGGCACAAAAGCACTTTGTTCCTCTGTAACCACAGAATCCAACACCTCTTTAAGTCGATTCGCAAGCACCTTTGCCACTAATTTATATAGCACATTACACAGGCTAATAGGTCGGAACTCTTTAGGGGATTCAGGATTCTTAACTTTGGGGATCAAGGCAATAAGAGTATGATTGAGCTGCTCGGGCATAATCCCCAGGTCCAGAATGTTCAGAACTGTCCCCACTACATCGTCACCAATAATGTGCCAGTACAGACGATAGAAAAGTACGGACATGCCATCCGCTCCTGGCGCTTTCCTCTTCCCCATCTGCTTTAGAGTTGCAACCACCTCTTCCCGGCAGAACGGGCGGGTAAGGGTGACATTTTGCTCAGCAGATATGGACGGTGCAATCACGTCCAACACCGGGGTGGAGTCTGGGACGTGCCCTCCATGAAAAAGGGACATGAAATAGTTAACCATGCATACAAGAATCTCCTCATTTCCCACGTGTAAGATCCCTCCCTCATCCTTAAGCTTTCGGATTGTATTCCTCCTCCTGCGAGCTGAAGCTTTTTTATGGAATAAATTAGTATTATTATCACCCTTCCGCAGCCAATCAACTCGTGATTGCTGCTGCCAATAAATTTTTTCACTGTCTTCTACCTCCAAAAGTTCCGTCTCAAGTTGCTTCAGTTGGGCGACAGCCTGCTCCGTTTTTCTACCCCGCTCCAGTGAGCGGATCGCCCTCCTAATGCGCTCCTTCTGTTTCCGGAAATTAGGGAAAGCCGAGAGGCTCCAACCGTTTAGCTCATCCCTACAGGCGTTTATCTTTGTGAGTGTATCACCCGAAGGCCCTCGGTTCCACAATGCTGTAATTACATCGGGGCATTGCTCATGCTTCACCCATTGGCGTTTCTTAAGTTTTGGCCGCCAAATAAGAAATTTCTATTTATTATGAAATTTTATCAAATATGTTATTCTATTACTTTTTCCATTAAACATGTTCTTATACTTTGAAAAAGTTATCAAACATGTTCTTCTCTTAAAATTTTCACCCAAAAATCGTCAATCACGGCGAACCTTAGTTTGGACAACACAACTGTATAAAATATCCCTATTAACTTCATTTTAGAATTGTTTTGTTTCTTTTGTATAGCCAAATATCTCCAATAATTTCATTTTAACGAGACCTACAGAAATACATGAGGCGAAAAAACTGACCCCCCCCCCCCTAATTTTGTGGATGTCGAGACGCGTGAATCTTGGTTCAACCGGGGTTTACCATTTTTAATTGAGAAATTTTAATAGAAGAGCATGTTTTATAATTTTTCAAAAGTATAGGGGCATGCTTGATGTAAAAAATACTAGAGAGGCGTGTTTGATCAAACTGCAAAGTAGAAGGACATATTACAGTTACTTATAACCCATGAGCCAACTACCCTAAAGGGTAAATAGGGCATATTTGATGGTGGATTTGTAGTAGCTAGAGATGACAATTTATAATCCAATACATCCACTTAAATATCCAACTAATCCAATCTGTTTAAATCCACATGGATTGGTGAATTTATGGATCATTGGCAAATTACAGTTTAGTACTTATATTTTATATATTTATAATTTGTTACCTCAAATAGTCAAATTTATTTTTTATACAGAAAATGTCATTAGAAAGTTACGTTTTGGTACCTAAATTTTTTAATATGACATTTTTTTACTTAAAATTTTCAAAATGTACATATTGGTCCAAGACTTGGATGACATTTGGATCCATGGATCGATCCATCAATCCATATGATCCGATCCATAAATACATGGTGAGCATATGCTGCCATGGGAAGGACAAACCGAACTCTTTGTGTTTATAGTATAGCATGTTGAAACATACACATGTTTAGACCCGGCCTATTGGACATCTCCACCTGAATTTATTGACGGAATTTTTGCTCATCAAAATCACATGCCAAGTTAGCTCTGTCCTTAATCCTTCTATTTTTTTAATCTGCACATGCACACCCTCATAGGAAACATGTACGAAATTGTAATTTGGGTGCTTCGTTAGTGTTGTTTCCATTAGATTGTATTATCTGAGATGGTTGTTATGGAATTGTGAATCGTGATTATATCTCCTATAAAAAATTGTCAAGTTAAGCTATGAAAAAGAGTAACCTAAGCTTCCTCTTTAATTTAGATTGTAAGAGAGCAATGATCCATGTCAAATTGATTGGGGGTTGACATGGCCTGAGAAACGGTTTAGGCTTCTTCAGAGCAACGCAAGATCCTGATAGTATCTCCACCAAAGCAATTTTTTTGTCATGCTTGATGTTGATACAAGTTGTTTACCTATAGGAGAGCCCCAACAGGTTAGCTATTGGAGTTTTGCTGCAAAAATGGGTAAGGCGGAAACGGTTTAGACAAAATACCATACTATTATCATATAGAATGCGTTGGTAGAGATAGTCGTCCATCTCATTTTGTTGACGAAGCCACCGAGGCAAAGAGAGGAATTGTCACTGGTACTCTAAATTTTACAAGGCTATTATATTGATAATTTCTTTCATTTCATGTAATTCGTATTATGAGTGAAGTGATATTACCTCAAGTCATAAATTGCAGCAATGAGTGGTTGTTTGGATTAATGTGCACTGATACAAAATGCCATGTCGCTGCCATGAAGAAGGAGTAAGAGAGGACCAATCAATGTGTTTGTCGTAAAAAAGGATAAGAATCATGACAATGGAGAGGTTACATGACGATTTACTTATACAAATTAAAGAGATAGAAAGTACAGAGTTGTAAGTCATTTGTGTGTTTAGTGTAGCATAGTGATTATGGGCGATTTGGTAGGATTTCACAGTGGTAGGGGTATTGACAAAAGTTGTTATTTGTTTGTGTTTCCAGCCATATGTTGCTTGCCTATTTCTTTTGTTTGTATCTGGGATTTCTACACCAGATTGCATGCTTTGTATTTCCTTTTTTTTTTTGTCATTCTAACTAACAAAACTATTTATCATAAAAAAAAACTGGCCGACACATTCCATCGACTTGATTTGGACATTGCTGGTTTTGGTTTTCTCATCTACGGATTCATCAACTTTGATGTCACTCTGGTTTTGGTCTAAGGGAAATCCAAATTGGTTTTTTTATGAAATCTTTGGGTGGCTTCTATTTTCACTGTCAGGAATTGGAGCCAAGTAAGTATTTTTGGTTTTTTCATGTTCACTCTAAGGGCATCAGGGTGTTTGATAATAGTGGGTAGATATAGGGCTAATGGCTTGATTTAGATTATCCATTATAGCGTTATGTTTTACTATTTCTTTTATAATACAATGGGATAATGACTTTACATCAAATTATTGGGTAATTATCATAAATGGTCACAAAACTATTCACTTTTTACAAAATGGTCACAAACTTTTAATTTTGCAGGTTTCTGTAATAAAGGTTTAAGCGAATAACGAAATGGTAAATTCGTCCATCTCCATCCAAAAAACCGTTACTTTTGTCTAGTCAGCACACCTCATCATTTAAAATATTAATAAAAAATTAATGAACAAATCCAATTGCACTGATAACCCAACTAAAAACCCTAATTTTATACCCACCCCATCGATTCCGCCAACTCTAGCACTGCCTCCCTATCGCGTTTATCAATACAATCGTTGCCATCTCCTCCCCTCTCCAACGGAAATATAATAGCAAATGAAAGAGAATCGAACTCGTTCAAATCCCTAGTTGGAAGCGAATCCTTGGTGAGCATGTAACACTCTGAATCCCAATCATTACAGAGCACATCGCAGGCAACGGGAACAACTTCATCCCCCACCTTCAACTCCAATGCCTTTGTGCCATTCTTGCCCTCGTACGAGTTATTGTTGCCTGAGCTTGAGGTGGAGGCTCGTACCGACACACCGTAGTGTTGTCTGAAGTAAATCAACGACTACGACGCGAGATTGGAGCGCGAGGGTTTAGTTGAGATTTGGTCCGGGACAGGGGAAATTCAGGATCACGTCAGGGGCCAATGGGATGATGGGTAAAGGGTTTGTTCCAAACGGTTGGACTGTCGGGTTAAGTGGGCTGATTAACTATTTTTAATTAATATTTACACTAACGTGCCATGCTGACGGGGCGATCTAGGACGGAATTTGGAACGAAATTGGACGGATTTACCATTTTGTTATTCGCTTAAACTTTTATTACCGAAACGTGCAAAATTAAAGGATTGTAACCGTTTTGTACAAAGTAAATAGGTTTGTGACCATTTATGATAACTACCCTCAAATTATTATAGTGTTGTTGACCTACCTCCGGTCATCGCCGTAGACATGCTAATGGGTAATATCAGTCAGAATCATATTACCAATTTTCGAGGCTGGATAATAAGCTAGTTGTTTTGGGAGCGAAAACAATCACCAGTACGAAAATTAAAAAGAAAAAGGATAACGAATGTGATTGGGCCTGGAGTTACATGACAAATGATAATAAATGGGCTTTCGTACGCCCAGTTGATTAATGACATCAGACCATGGGCCAATGAAGTAGGGCTTATTAATGGTTCAAGACACTCTTTTGGCCCACGCAAATTAGTCCCAAAATTATTGTTGTTTTCCCAAATCACCCCTTCCGTCACTTCTTCAAATAGTCCGGCGATTAGGCTTGGCAATGGGTCGGATACGGGGCGGGTACCCCATATCTGTTGCCCGCTATATATGCCCGCGGGTAAACCCGGACCCGTCCCATTAACCTTAATGGACACAAACTTTGGACCAAGCCCAAGACCACACGGGTATCGGTGAACCCGCGGGTCAATGGTTACCCGAGACCTGTCCAGAAATATAAGGCAACCAATTTCAATTCATTCCCTAAGCATTACAAGAATTTCTGAAAAACAAGTTCTTATAACATTCAACAAGAAATTATGAACTGCAAACCCAGAAACCTTACTCAAAATCAACAATCCGACCATAAATAAACCCAAAAATAACAATCACTCAAACCGAGAATTGAAACCCACAGTGTAAAAAAATCCCAGCTAACAAACAACCATGCACTGCAGTCTGCAAACCCAGGAACCTGACTCAAAATCAACAATCTGACCATAAATAAACCCAAAAATAACAATCACTCAAACCCAGAATTGAAACCCACAGAGTGTAAAAAAATCACAGCTAACAAACTTCTGAAATAACACTTCGAGTCTGAAAGATTGAAACACAAAAAACAAAAACAGAAGCCATTCTGAAAAGCAACAATCAGTGTTGAATCTTCACTCCTAAGTCTCTCTTTCTCGTCCTTGCGTCTTCTTTCAATGAGATTAAGATTTCCTGAATTCCAACAACATTTACAACTTCAGATTACTATGTTCTACAAGGCTTTAGTAAAATTCCAGCAGTAGCAAAGCTTTAACAGTAAAAAAAAGAAACAGAACACACTTACAGACACCAATAGCTAGACGAGCAGGTTGACTGCAGCAACCTCATCTTCATCTCCTTCCAGCTCCTTTTGCATTCCAGCTCCATCTGAAACATAAACAGTCTGTTTAGTAAAATTCCTAGGAGAACTGAATAAACAAATTACAACAAGAGAAGTTTATTACCTGTGCTCTCTTCCACCGTGGCATCATCCATTGCCTTAGCAGAGAAAACTCCCTCCAATGCTTTCAATTCAGCAGCAGACACTAGGAGCAGTAGCAACATTCAAGTAAACAGTTTAATTAGCGAGAAAATGAAACAATAGCAAAGTAAACATAATTCATAATTGAACTAAAAAAAATTCACCTTTGCTATCATCCTGAATCCAAATCCTTAATATCATCATCGCTTCTATTGTTGCAGGATCAAGTCTGCTCCGATGGGGATCAAGAAGCCTCCCACCAGAATTGAAGGCAGACTCAGATGCCACACTAGTAACAGGTACAGCAGGTAAGTCCCTTGCAATCTCTTGCAAAATGGGATACTTGGCACCGTTGAATTTCCACCAACCCAACACATCAAAATCTGGTGTTCTAGGATGAACATCCTCAGCTAGATAATGATCTAACTCGGTGGTTACTGCAGAAATTTTGGTTTTCTTTCTTTGGCTAACATACAGATCAAAATCCAGATCTGTAGCCGAAGAAGAAGGATGAACAGCAGAAGATGCAGAAGTGTTTTTGGTGGCTTTTCTTTGATACTCAACAACCAATTCAGCCATAACTGATCTGACCCTTTCACTCACTAGATCAGTATTAGTGATACCAAATTTTCCAGCATAGTAATCAACCAGATCCAATTTATACCGTGGATCCAATACAACAGCAACAGCCAACAGTAAATGAATGTCATCCTATTACTTCACAAACTTATTCCACATATTCGCAGCCATAGAAACAATCAGCAGATTAGGATCACTTAACCATTCCATCAACTTTAACCTCAAATCACACACTTTAGCAAAAAACTGATTCGCTGTTGGGTAGTTTGAACCAGAAAAAATTAAAGTGATGTCCTTGAACACATCAAGCTTGTCAACCAAAACAGCAGCAAAATCCCACTGCTCGTTGGTAGGCAGAGAATTATATTGAGGCTCTCTTATTTCAAGATAGAGAACACTTCCTTATACGGGATAGCACAAGAAAGCATCTCGTAGGTGGAATTCCAACGAGTGGGACAATCCAATACCAACTTCTTAGAAACAGATAATTTGAGTTGTTGGGCAGTTGCATGGAAAAACTCCACTCTCCTGGGAGTGCAGATCCAAAAGACCACACTCTCCCTTATTTTTTCAATACCATCTTTCAATACATCGAGTCCATCCCTCACAATCAGATTAAGGATGTGAGCAGAGCACCTCATATGAAGAAGTGTGCCATCCCTAATTAGATTCGATAACACTAGCCTTTGTTTAATTAGATTTATCATGGAATCATTGGTAGTGCAATTGTCAAGAGTAATGGTTGACAATGTACTATCAATGTTCCAAGATCGGAGGCATTGAGCTAGCTTTGCAGCCATCCTCTCACTAGTGTGGGGGGCAGGGAAATATCCAAACATAAGCAGATGGTTTCGCAACTTCCAAAAGTTGTCTATATAATTGGCAGTGACAGCCATGTAAGATCTTTTTTGGTTTGTGGCAGTCCACATGTCAGTTGTGACAGCTATACGACCTCGGTTTTCATTAAGGACCTTCTGAATCTTAGCCCTCTCTAAACCATATATAGTAACTATATCCTTCTTTATGGTATTTCGGGTTGGAACTTTGAAGAGAGGATTCAAGGTGCAACAAAACCTTTTGAAATAAAGGTGGTCCACAATAGAAAGGGGATACTCATGCACCAAGATCATGGTGCAGAGCTCCTTTCTAGAAACCTCACTACTAAACTGATTCGTACTCAGATCAGCTGTTCCCTTGGCACTATAGTCAGCCCCAAGGACCTTTTGACTACCATCATGAATTTTTTTATGAACACAACGGTTTCTATGAGTCCTAAGATGGGAGGTACCATTACTCGATTTTCCAGCCAAAATCTTCTTACAATAGTTGCATTTTGCTTTCAAAATCCCATTAATTATCAGTCTGGTGAAGTGAGGCACACATCAGACTTTAAGCACCTACTAGCACCTAAGGGATTTTGGGGAAGAGCATCTTCAGTAAGGTTTTCAGAATTACCAGGTTGGTTTCCATTGTTATTCTGAATTGGTGCATTCTCAACTTGTTCAGGTTCCATCTGGGTAAGAAACAGAAATAAAAGAAACGTTTCAAAATGAATTCCAATGTCGTTCTAATGAATCAAAATTCAATGATTAGACCATTAGATATTAGATAAAAAAGGAGAATGATGAACCAAAGTCTATTCTGTAATGTTGATTGGATCCTCTCACAATCTGGATTCGATCAACATTACAGAAGATCATGGTTAAACAGTTTGATGATTGAATCAAGTCAAATCTGTAATGATAATTTAGATAGTTTTACTGTTTTGGGATTAGATAATTTGGGTGCATTTACTGCATTAGATAATTTAGAGTTTATACTTTATATAGTTTTAGGATTAACCAAGTATATTATGTAATGATGATTGAATCCTCTCACAAACTGGATAAACCATTACATAGACTACTTACTAACTTACAACAAAGTGATAATTAGTTGTAATTTGGGTTCATTAGATGATTTAGAGTTTACATTTGGGTTCATTAGCAGAAACAGATTTATGAATTAGCAGAAACAAAGTGAACATTAACATTACAGTCTCTTGAACTTAGGTACAATAAAATCACATTGACCATTACCTTTAACCATAACATAAACTACTTGCAACAGTGACATTTTCCAAGAACAGAATCACACTAACCATTAACATTTAGCAGACACATTCAGTTCTTAGTTTTAATGGTGATCAGTAGTATGCGATGGTTACTTCAAAGGTGATTAGTCTACAATTATCTAATGCATGCACCAAAAACAGACATCAACAACCAGGAACAGACATCAACAACCAAGAACCATCAAACAAGGAATGGCGATTTACCTCGGCAGAAAGCAGTGGAAGAACCAGTTGCGAGATGCGACTCCCGAATAGCAAGCTACAAAAGCAAAAGAAGAAATTTAGATAATTAGGGATTTATTGATTTTGTTGAACTAAGCATGCACCAACATCAATTAATGAAACTAACTAATGTCGAACAAACTTACTAAGAACGCAGCAAAGTAGGGTTCCGAAATCTGGAAGGCTAGATTTCTGGATTTTGGGTTCGATGAACTGCATATGAACAAAATGTCGAAGTTAGTCACCTATTTATAAGTCTATGAGCAAAACTGGAATAAGGTAATAAAGAACTAAATACTTATCTCGATCTGGGAAAGAAATCCTTTGCATGCACGATTCAGAGAAGATTTCTGTCGATTGAGACATTTTCGGAGTTTGGAGGGTTGATTTACAGTAAGATGTAGTGTTATGGATGATGGGATCGTCGATTTGCGAGGGAGACTAGTCGGGAAGAAGGAGAAGTCGGCGGAATCGAAGGGATTTGGGGAGGAAATCGGCGATATCGCCTCGGATGGGTTGAGAGGAAATCGGGGATACAAGGTTGGCGGAAGATGAAAATGGACTGTCCACAAACCCTAACCCCAAAAATGAGGCATTATATATGCGCAGCAAACGACGTCGTTTGCTATCGGTGCAGATACGGGCTGGGGATCCCAGAATCCGTGCCCAGCCCATCACCGCGTACGACGGGTCGCGGGTTTGCCCGCAACCGCGAATCTGACCGGCCTCGCGGGTTTAAGCCCAATACAAGCGGGCGGGCCCCGGCGGATATCCAAAGTCCGCGGGCCCATTGCCAAGCCTACCGGCGATTATTAGTCCCTAAATTATTGTGATTTTCCAGATCGCCCCTCCGTCAGTTCTGCAACATACCCTCGATTGTGAAAGAAACTACTACTATACAGTAAACGAAACAACCAAATGCAAAAGTTATCACTTGCAGCCTTTCCTAAATGCACAACCGAGTGAAAGGAGGCTTTCCTTCTCACTTTCATAGTATAAACTATGACGCAGAGCTTAGAATCCAAGAATTTAAGCAAAAAAAGGCACTCAATACTGATTGCCCTGCGGACTACTCACTACTCCGTTATTACTGGTTCCTATTCGTTATGCAGAAACAGAAAGTAACAGGTATAACCCAGAGAAGTTGCTGGTGAGCTAATATCACTGTACGATCTTCCATCTTAGACGCCATTCGAGTGCTTGAGACTGGGGTTTGAAGGGTCTCCATGGCAATTGCCATAAGTTGAATTTCTCTGTTTCTCAAGGAAAATACTACCCCAGCCAAGTCATCGCCCGTCAACCATAGCCGTCTCCCATTCATATACGCTTACATGACGATCACCCTGAAAAGTTTTAGCAAGCGAAACAGGTCAGCGATTATGGCTTCAACAGCCCTAGACTCTTGACTGACTTTTTTCTTCTTACCGTTCAAATTGTATGCTGAGTAGCTGGCTGACGAAGAGGAAAAAGAAAGCGCTATAGTGTGTAGCCGCTTGTTATGAATTCTCCTATCAACGTGGGATAGAAAAAGTGAACCCATTAGCATGCCTAACAGGACTGTTCTTACGGATGTTTGCAATTCCATCTCTTCTTAGGGAATGGGGGTTGATTCCTGCTTTGTGAGCAGCTATAACACCTATTGCTTCCCAGTAGTTCGAAACCTTTATCTGCAATGTAAGAACATACTTGATTTGTTTAGTACATGAGAATTTAGAACACATTGAGTCTCTATGGTGTTTGGCATCTAAGCTTTCAAACAAAGTTCATTGATGTTTGGATTAAGCTGTTTGTTTTGGAAAGCATACCACTTCCATCCCGAATTTATCTGGAGTGCTGTCCAGGACTGTCTCATTTTCCTCCACCACAATTATGAGTGGCTGAAAAAGAACAAACTAACAGTAAATTATGAGGACTTAGTGGCCAATAGAAACGGCTCGTTTGAGATAGAAAAACAGGGTCAGCTGTACGAAGCCAAAATGACATCAACCAGATCTCCAGAGCCTCCAAGAACATTGTGGTCATGCATTTTTGTTCTTTCAACAACAACAACAACAAAAAAAAAAAACATGCGATTAATTGATGGTTTTTCTACATGTACCTTCTTTCCCTTACTTCTTGAAAATGCAAGGGCAGCATCTCCTCCACATGAGTCCATAGGAAGGACTACACTATCCACATCACTTGCATATAAACAATCCTTCCCTAAGGAATGAGAGTTCACCTTGTATTGAGGTGCTTTGCTTAGTCCCACGAGCACACAGGGCAAGAAAGTGTAACCTATCTGTGAAATACCATTGAAATAAACAGAATTAATGAGGGAAGTAATAGCAAAACTATCTACAAAAACGCAGTGCATATTGCTTCAAGGAAGTTAACTTCCAAAGTTTTTGTTTCTAGTCGAACCTCCTCCGCAGCTGATTTTGGGGAAAGCATCGGGGTCAAAGGAAGAGGAAGCATTGCGGGAGCATGTGCACAAGGAATCTGGAACTCCTTCACCACAAGATGGCTTATAATTGCCTCAACTCCAGCCAATACATCTATTCCCTGCAAAGTCAAACAATCATTAGCGGAAGACAGTTTCTTAAGATAAACACAAAAGACACTCAGGTTAAGCACAGTTATAATAGCTGGCAAGGTTTCAGGACTATTCAACATTGCGAATCTCGAAAAAGTTGAACGATGACAAGCATACCACGCCTTGTCGATAATCGTCAACGTCATCAACATCATCATCAGGAAACCGCCCGACAACTGCAACAGCATTCACTTGAGAACGGTTGATCAGTGTCTGTACAGCTCTCAATAGAGAATCAGGATGCCTAATTCTTCCTGTTGATTGACCACTCATCGGATCGACCCACTTCTCCACCTAATAAAGAAGTCAGTTCAAACAACCACGAGTGAACATGGGGAAAATGTTGGTATCCAGAAGTACAAATTTCCCGAAACCAGAAAGAGTTTCGAAGTTCATGGCAAAGTTAGTGAATAAAGAAAGAAATTTGTTCTTTCTCTGCGGACAATAATGCGAAGGTACCTCTAATGCGGTATCAGTGACAATGTACTCCACAACAGGCAATCCAAGAGAAGCTCTAGCCGCATCAGCCACTTGCAAATGGCGAATTCTGAGTTCTTCCTCTATTCCACAATCAAGAACTAAGCCCACCTACTTCACATCACAAAATAAACAAAGCCCATCATCCCCATACCATTCACCATTTACACACTCTGGGGAAAAAAATATCAAAGCAAGCTGACCTTATTTTGATGAACAGGTTCAAGTGCCCACAAGCCTTCTGCAAATCTGTCAAGAGCATACCCTTCAACATACAACACATTAGGCATCGGCCAGTACATCATCGCTGCATTAAGAACCTGCCAACAAGAAGAAACCTCAAAAACCTAAATTCTCTCCACTGAATTTTCCCGCCAAGCATACCCTGAAATCATTCTCACTCATTCAATATACTACCACTGAAAAAGAACCGAGTGGAGCAAGAAACTGACATTGGGATGCGTTATGAGGCAGTCGACGACGGAGGACAAGGCACGAGCGACCGGCAAAGCGTCTCCGGCGAATCCACCGATCGCGGCTCCAACACCGGTCGGGACTATCATTACGCTCGTGTACTCCCTCCTACCCTGCATTTGCATTCCATTCAACACCCCCCAAACAGTGAAAACAAAAAGGACGTCGAAACAATTGAAGCTACAGGACCTTGCTCCAACATCGGAAAGAAGCTGGGCGGATTCTGGCTCGAGAGGGCTTAACTGAGGTCTCCGCCGGCGGCGGGAGGAATGGCCGGCAATGGTGGAGTATCGCGTCCACCATAATCCGCTAAGAGAGGGAACGCGAGAATGCTTGCTTCGCAACGCTATTTTCTTTTTCCTTTATTTTCAAAAATAGGTCAAGGTCATTTTATTATCTAAGGAAAAAATGGTGGGCTTCACGAAATTGGACTTTCCGGCAGTTCTATTTTGGGCTTTATCTCACGGATTTGAGCCTAATTTTATTTAAACTTTAAAGGTTGCTCTTCGTCCCAAGTATCATTGCTCACTAAACTAGTTTGAGCAATGCTTATTAGCATGGTTGTCATGCGGTGGGATGCCACCCGGTTGAACCTGGTTCAATCTGTGCCGGTCATAAAACCGGTATATGACACCACCGGTATGACCGGTATGATCGACTTACGCATTCTAAGTAAAATGATATCATTTTAATGAACTTTATGAATAAAAAATTAATTTATTATTCATTTTATGAATGTAATAGCTAAAAGTTGATGATATTTGTTGGATTGTAACTAAATTGTCCACAAATATGTTTTATATATGATTAAATACATTAGATATTAATTGTTTTCACATTTTTTTTAACCGGCATGAACCGGCACAAACTGGTTTTACCACCGGTCGTACCATTCCACTTGCCAAACCGGCACAACGGTATAAACCAGTTTGACAACCTTGCTCATTAGTCATTACATCATATAGGATCCATTTATTAAGATTAGGTTCGCTCATGTCAAATCAATATGTGTCCAAATTCACACTATGTCATTTACTAGCTAAGTAATTGGTCGCAAAATTATATTTTCTGTGCACATTATTGGAGATTTGAACTTTCCACTCACAATTCAAAAATATGTCGAACTTGTTGGACAAGGAAACCATGGAGATGGCGGTCATCCCCACAAAATTTCATGATGGATATAGTTTTGGTTGAGTTAAGGTTAAGTTGGATGTTCTTGTGGCCCCTTTTCCAAGCAATCATCAACCCGTTAGCTGCTCGTTTCAGTTCTGCAGCACTAATTGAGCAGATTCAGAGATTACAAACATTGGCTTCAATACGTTTCCCAATATTGTTTCTGATCAGACCTCGCGTTATTGTTTGTTTCTGAGAGTAAGAGGACATACTCATATGATTGAATCTGTACCCAACTCTCGGGAGGCCGATTACAGGCTAATTCCATATTTGTTCTTTGTTTAACAGGTGACTTAAAACACTTGCCCACACTCTGCTTTGCACTTGTGCCTTCTTGCAAATGCATTTTTTTGGTTGGTCATTTTACATGGAAAGATCATAGTCGATTTCGATGGGCTATGAAGATGAACCAAAGAGGTGCAACAAGATTTATAGTTCTACCAGGTGATGGCTCGATCTTATTTGATTTTAGTAATTATAATAGTTTTCGTAGGCTATGAGATGGGTTTCTAATGCATAAGTTTTTTGTTGTTACATTTTGTGGTGACTCGCTACTGGTCTTCAGGTATGCTACTTTCAAGAAGACTCCCCACTTGCTGGTAGAGCCCATCTTACAGGAAGTTTGTTCACATTACTCGTCTTTTAAATTCGTGTTGTATTTCTTTATTTCTGAGTTGTCCATATAATAACAAAATATATTTCATTTCGGTTACTTACAAACTACCGCTACGAGTAGAGTCGCTCTTACAAGTGATGGGTCTCTATACTATGCGTTTGGGATTCCCCCTTGATAAAGGAATGCATATACAAGTCGGCAGTCAGCACTTTGTTTGTGCGCAAATTAAGTTGGCAATAAGATAATTAATCAACGAATACATGCACCACAGTTTGCCGCCTAATCATACCCTTGCCTTGTGTCAACCTTAATTGTTGGCTTTGATTTGATTAATTGTGATTGTGGCCAAGCTTTTCTTGTTGATTAAGTGGGGAAAATGAACTTAAATTTTTCATACAGAGCAAAAGCCGGACGAAAGGTCAACGGCCAATAAGACTACTAGTCTGAGAAGAGTCGACGGCACATTTGGAGTACCCTCCAAATCTTGGGTTCTCTTTTCAACATCTTGACACATGGCATCGGATCTACGATTATGGTTTTGGATTGAAATTTACCGAAAAATAATTACACTTTCAAAATGACTTTCGAAAATATTGATTGAATTGGGAAGATCCGAAGATATCTAGATAAAGAAAGCACAATCCAATATGCTCTTGTCGCGGAAGAGTGATGAGAAATCGTTGTTGCATGCCCTAATTTTGGGAGTTGTCCGTGAGGATGGAGATCATGACCCTCGTATATCCAAGTCGTATGTACATCTCTCCACGACCATACTGAAGTATAGACCCAGAGAGCTCTAATATTGATTCGATCTCAAACCCTCATATTTGATCTGTATAGTGCTAGTAAAGAAAGGCGTATAATAAGATTGAATAACACTCTCTTGGTGAATCTGTCGAATTTAAAAAAAAGGAGGATAGTCTTGATCGTACACATCAAAATTCTTGGTATGGGTGTAACAGTCATTCTGACTCGTAATAAAATTTGTGTTAGATGTACATTATTCATTATTGTAATGACATACCATCAAAAAGTATTGTCATGCGTTAATCATTTTATTATCAATCCGACTAACCATCATGTCATTTGAACTTTCCTCCCTTTGCCCAATTGTCCCATATGATTGAGCGTTGCGACACATATATGAGGAAATATTCCAAGAAGAAATAACCCCACAATCAACCTGCCTAAAAAGCCAAAAACTGAGCTTTCTTGGCAACAAAATTGAGCTCCAAAATATCACCAAAACAAAGAATGTTAAATCAACAGTTCTTTAATTATATGGTGCATGTAGGTAATTAGAGTAGTATTACAAGGTTATGTTCAATTGTTAAAAAAATCACTTTCAACCCTTTACGTGGTTGCCAAGTTAATTGTAACTTAAAGATAATTTTAAGGTATTGCATGTGTGATTAAATTTGTTTCCTTCATTTCAAGAATGTAAGCTTCTCTTTTTTTCAGAAATTTTGATGTGTTCTATTTTCTTATAATATTATTGGGATCTAGCTTATTCACTTTGACTCGTGTAGAACTTATTTATTGATCCAACCTCTTGCCTTATCGAGATTGTAAACAGTTGTCTTTAGATCCATGTCCATCGTGTAAAAAATCATGAGCGCTCATTCGAGAGGAGTCAAGCCCTGCAAAGTATTGACGCTTAGAAGGCCTAAAAATCGTTAGCGTACGACGTCCACCCTGTTCAATTTAGCTCAATCCAAGAACCCAGGAACAAGCATGTATAAAAAAAAGACTCCTCTCCTCTCTACCCTATAGATGAATTTTGCTTACACCCCCTTCATTTAGGTATCTCCGTATCTATATTCTTCTCCTCCTTACATAATTTTCCTCATTCGACCTAATGACCGAGGTTCGTTCTTGCACCAACGCGTATCTAAACATTGTTTGCATGTAGGATTCGAACGATTTCACTCCCAATGAACTGATGAAATAGAATTAAGAGACGATGATCTTCCTCGTCGTTCACGATCACATCGACGAAAGAGTGCGTGTTTCCAAAATGAGTCTACTAGATCCAATCCACGTCTACACATAAATGCAAATTCATGGGAGAATTAGAAACAAGAAAGTGGCTCATGAAAAAGGAAATGACATTCTCCAATCCACGTTTGTTACAATGTATTTAAGGAAATTGCATTATCAATTTATCATCAATTCATAAGCATCCATCAAGCTAAAGGGAAGTTGAGAAGATCAACCGTAAATCTAAATCACATTCACATCGAATATATGTGATACATGGCCATGTGAAAGTGAAACTTCCATGTGGACATGATCATATTTTATAAAACGCATTCAATTCTTTCCCTCCATTTAATACACATTGAGAATGGTTATTTGTTTCTCATGTAGATTTAGTTAAACAGTAAAATAAGGGTTATATGTATAATATGCCCCTCTACTATGACGTTTTATCAAACATGTCCTTTTACTATTTTTTACATCAAACATGCCCCTGTATTTTGAAAAAATTATCAAACATGCCCTTCTGTTAAAATTTTCATTGAAAAAACCATCAATCGTGGTTGAACCGAGATTTAGATGACCCGACATCGGCAAATGGGAGGAAAAATGTCAGTTTTGTCCCCTGTTTTATTTCCCTGGGTCTTTTCAAAGTGAAATTATTTGAATGATTTGATTATACAAAAGAACGAAAAAAAATTCTAAAGTGAATTTATTATGGATATTTTAGTCATTTGTGTCACCCAAACTAAAGTTCGGCCTTGGTTAACGATTTTTGGATGAAAATTTTAACAAAAGGGCATGTTTGATCATTTTTACAAAGTACAGAGGCATGTTTGATGTAAAAAATAGTAGAGGGGCATGTTTGATAAAACGTCATAGTAGAGGGGCATATTATACCTATAACCCGTAAAATAATATAGATGGAATTGTACTGTGCTGTTGAATAGTAACATGGGATAATATTGCAAATTAAAGAGTCACAATAATCCCAATTGGATACTGGGTCATTATTTGGTTCAAATTTGAGCTTTAACTGGAGATTAAAACTTTATATGATTAGATTGAATTGTTATCCATTTAGACTTAGGTACAGACTAACCCAAGGTTTTTAATTAGCAAATTCATGACAAAATCCTCGTTATAAAATCCTTGAAGCAAACGACCTCTTAGTGCTTGCATCTTAATTCTTTGAATTCTTTGTCAATGTTGGTTTTGATTATCTCCAATTTTAGATAGTTTCTAAGTATCTTGATAATCAAGAGCGTCATGAAGAAAGCTGATACCATATTTTTTAGTGTTGGTTTTGGAAAGGGCAAATGATTCAATTTGGGATCCAGTATGACAGATATTTCCTGCATACAACATACATCTCGCAACTTAGGGAGTCGTCATATAAAAGAGCCGGTCACAAAAAGATGATGGCGTTTCTAGTTCCCTTATTTGTTTGATCGACGAAATTAGTGAAGCAAAAGTAATTGTTGTCGACTTTAGAATCAAAACATTTATCTTTATCAAGTGTTTGACGGTCGTTTCGTCAACACCTTATTTGGTTCAACATATTATAATGAAATCCTTAATATGAATTCTTTCAATTAAGGTAATTTTTCTCCGATCCAATCAATGTCTGCTTTCCACCTCAAAGACTCTACAATCAGACAAACTAGTTTACAGATTACAAGCGGGAATAACTTTATCGTTAAACTAGATCAATACAATATATTGTTTTAAGTTTTGCTTGCAGTAAAATCGAATCTAACCAAAAGGAAATGTTTTTTTCTCAAAAAGGAATATATCATCAAAATATTTGTAGGTTGTCAAATTCGTTATGATTATTTTTCCACTTAACATATGAAATTTGAGAGTTACTATTGGATTTGAACATTGACACCAACATCTTTCGAAAGTTTTGTTTTCAACTTAAGCAACAATACGTATAGCTTCATAACACAACACAAAACATAAAATAATTAAAAACAATATATAAAGCTAAAATTTGTATTTCGTGAGGAATATTATTTTCGGTATCTGATTTTTCCTCCTCAAAAGATGACAATGATACAAATACATACTAAAAACGTTTGGCATGAAACGTATCCGTTATCAAATTCACAAAAAATTCCAATTTTGTTGTTTCTAATTATTACCCAATTTGATTACTTAGAAAAGAACAATGATTTCATCGAAGCCAATTATGGTGAAAGAATATCGAAGTTTTTATCAAATAGGTTAGCTGAAAAGATATTTTTAGTAACATAATGATAATTTGATATGCAATGAGTTTTGAGATAATACATCCAATCGATAATTTACCAATACAACTATCGATCAAATCCAACAAAATCAATCAGTATTATAATTAGACAAATCGACTGCATCATATCGAATTATCCATTAATAAGAACAACTCTTCATTACGTTCGATGATGAACAATTTTTGCGATCCAACCGTCAATACACTACGATGCCACAAAATGTTGTTTGTGTGGGATTAATGGCGAAAGTGAAACTTCACTCACTCATCAATGATTTTTCTCCCTAAATTACCATAACTGCTGGGATTTTGATTTTTTTTTTCCACTCCTTTTTTTTGTTGCTGTTTTTCTTCTTTCCTTTTCTCTTCCTCTTTAAAACATTCTCTTCTCTTCTTTCTCTCATTCTCCATGCGATTTCTTCACCTTCTCCGTCACTCCCGAGGCCTCACCATTTCCTTCCTTTGTCAAACCTACCCCGTCGTCCTGAATTCTCCGCGCAATCGCATTGCCCTTTCCGTTTGTTTCCCGGGAAAACAATCAGCACCAGAACAGTAAACGGAGGGGGTTTTCCGCTTTCGGCGGCTAGTCGGGAGGAGCTGAAAAAGCTAACCTACTGCTGTGTTTCAGCTTCCAAATTCGCCGGAAAGGTGCGTCTTCTATGTCTTCAGTAACTTCCTCCTTCTTGGCGTTTTATCTGGATGTTTGCGATCTCTGCTTGGTAGTTCCGTTTCGCATCTCCGTGTTGTTGTTGAAATCGAGATGTGTAGAGTTCTACCCGGCGGCTGGATTTCTGATTCAGTTCTGCACTAGTTCCTGTTTTTTTTTTTTGCTACTGCTGAGCCGCCGCCGCCGGCGAGTGATGGATCTGCTTCTTCTCAGCTGGGACAATGCACTCTGATCTCTCGCGATCGATTCTCTGAGCTTCAGCTGGCGATTCTGATGGCAGATCGATAAATCTTTCTGTTTGATTTGCTTGCGTCTTCCCCCTGGAGGATTGAGTTCTCCTCCCTGCTTGATTTGCTTGGGGTTTTTCTTCACTCCTAATCTACTCCGTTTAAATTTGTTCAGATGAGGTATTTCGGTTTCCACTTGCGTTCGAGAGTTTCTTCTCTTTGCCTTTTCCGCTGGTAAAAAGAATTGATCTGTTAGGGTTTTATTTAATTTGCCGGAGTTCTCCGATGGCGATCCGGTTCAGGACTGTGTAGATTTGCGTGTTCGTGTGGAATTCTTTCTTTTTATGGACCCTTTTCATGATCAATCACTACTACTACTTAAAAAGAAGCCTTGATTGAATCTAAAAGATTCAAATCCGAATGTCTTGAATTCAGATGGTGACTTTGTCTTGTGAATGCAGATACTCTGCTGCGGTATCTTTTTCAAACACAACATTCGAGCTCGTAGTCTCATGAAGAGCGATCTGTTGTGACTGAGGAATTTCGTCGAGCATCCATAAAGGTTTTACGGGGTGTTAGAGAAGGAGTGAGAGAGGATGTCTTCGCCAAGCAAAGCTGATAAGAAGGCATCTCTCGATGCAGCTTCATGGATGTTCAATGTCGTCACTTCTGTTGGAATTATCCTCGTCAATAAAGCTCTCATGGCTACCTATGGCTTTAGCTTTGGTAAGTTTGCCGCTTCTGCTGCCGAAGTCCTTATTATGCTCTTGGCATGTCTTCAAAATTTCAGATGGACTTTGCTTCTTATGTGATTTGCCTAGAGAATTTGGTTTTTCTAAGTCGAGTGAAAAAGAACTGTGCTTTCTTTGCCGGGGGTTGTTTTTCTTGAACTCTGCAGCTGTCTCTTTCTGTGTTTCTCTGTTTATGATGGGTGTTATCACAGGGTCTGATGTTTTCTGTTCAATTTGGTATGGTTTGCAGCAACAACACTAACCGGTCTCCATTTTGCCACAACGACCTTGTTAACTCTTGTTCTAAGATGGTTGGGATACATCCAGCCCTCTCATTTACCATTAGGAGACCTATTGAAGTTTGTTTTCTTTGCAAACTTCTCCATCGTTGGTATGAACGTGAGTCTAATGTGGAACTCGGTTGGATTTTATCAGGTGAGGCTTTGTTGAACTACTAAACTATGTGCTCTCTCTCCTTCTGTGGATTTTTAGAAGCTAATAAGGTTCTCGGTTTCTTTTGGAACTTGTCAGATAGCAAAGCTAAGCATGATCCCAGTCTCATGTTTTCTGGAAGTTGTCTTGGATAAGGTCCGATATTCAAGAGATACCAAGCTAAGCATCTTGGTAGTCCTTCTCGGTGTTGCTGTTTGCACTGTTACAGATGTAAGCGTTAACGCTAAGGGGTTCATAGCTGCCTTGATAGCAGTTTGGAGCACTGCGCTGCAGCAATATGTAAGTAGCTGCTTGTACCCAAGATGGCTTATCTCATACTTTGGCTGATCTGCTGGCCGACTTTTGTTAATCAAGGGTTGTTTTTGCTTGATGCTCTAGAGTTGTAACAGTTATATTCTTTCCTTTATCATGCAGTATGTACACTATCTGCAACGGAGGTACAATCTAGGTTCTTTCAACTTGTTGGGGCATACTGCTCCAGCTCAAGCTTCATCTCTGCTGCTAGTGGGGCCCTTTGTGGACTACTTTTTGACGAGTAAACGAGTTGACGCTTATCCATTCAGTTTCACATCTGTGGTGAGTTTTTCACGTTTCAGTTCCTGAATCAAGGACTTGCTTCCCTGTAACCATTCTACTCTCTCCCCTGAAGCTACATTTGCAATGTCAGTGTAGTCATATCATACCTTCCTGACTTCTTCTAGATGGGCGCATTAAACCTGCACGAACAAATACCTTCCCTTCTAGAGAACCATCATTATCTATACTCTCTTTCCTGAAGCTACATAACATTTAGTCCTGACGAAACCAAGCAATAGATGGTCATTGCGCTTCATGCATACAGTTTCAGAGGTTCCTTTGGTATCCTGGGATTGTTCTGTAATTCCAAGTATGCATGGTTCCTGACTAGTCATCATTTGTTGTTGGCACAACCTGATACAAAAGAAAAAACACGTATTTCAGCTCCCCATGTGTTTTCCAGAATACATTCTTGCTTGCACATCCTAATGAGTAATGACCCGTCAAGTTTCTCATGGTCCAGGGGGGGAATCTGATTTGTCTTCCTCTTTTTGTGCTATCCTGGTGCAGGCGTTCATAGTCCTGTCCTGCAGCATCGCCGTCGGAACGAACCTGAGCCAGTTCATCTGCATCGGCAGGTTCACCGCCGTGTCATTCCAAGTGCTGGGCCACATGAAGACCATCCTCGTCCTGATCCTGGGATTCATCTTCTTCGGGAAAGACGGCCTGAACCTCCACGTCATCTTCGGGATGATCATCGCCGTGGCTGGGATGGTCTGGTACGGCAACGCCTCTGCTAGGCCCGGAGGGAAAGAGCGCCGCAGTCTGTCCATGAACGGCGGCAGCAAGGCCGAGAAGCACGAAGATCCCGTGGAGGCCACCGAGGAAGCTGAAGAGAAGGTATGAGAGGCGAGTTTCTCTCTTCCGTTCTCTGGTCTTATGGAGGGATCAACCAAACAGAAGGTTATCTTTTTTTTTTTTTTTTGGGAAGAGGAAACGGATTATCTTTATTACCACAGGTCACACAAGCTTTTGCCGCATCTGTCTATGAGTGATCGATTCTTTTTTTGTTGCTATAGTAATTTATTTCTCTCTATTGGGGGGAGGGAAAAAAGCTGTAATTTTGTTCCACCCACTCGGAAATTATTACACACCAGTTTATGATTTCGGCATGTAATCTTTTGTCTCTCTGTTATTTCCTTTTTACACAAAGCTAATCGAAATTTTCAGTAGCATTCGTTTCTTCTATGGTTTCAACTTGTTATTTTCGACATACTGCATGTTGTGCTCTCTTCATTGACTAGTCTATGGTACTTGATTCAACCGATACGGGTAATCGGTAATATGAAACGATTCAAGGTATGGTAACAAATTCGCGTGATAATAAATGATGAAATTCTAATAATAACGGGTCGATTAGACGAGTTAGCATTCTCGTGAGGGTATGAATGAATTAACAAACACATAGATCATAACCATTAATGTTAAAACTAGTTTTCTACCCAAAAAAAAAAAAAATGTTAAAACTAGGGAGACTTCATTTCTAGCAACTCAAGAGAACAATTTGATTCAGATCTGGATCATCTAGTGTTTATAGAACCAAAAAATTCAATTTCATAAAACAAAAGAATCACAAAACTCCAACACAATCGATCGAGAAACACGCAACTACACGTAAATGAATGAAAGAACATTTCACATAATTATTTGCAAGTGAACATCTCAAACGAAGACAAAATGTTTAATTCGATTGCTAGTTCAAATTCTTCCAATAAACTCGAGTCAATCTCCGCCGGTACCCTCCCGAATCACTATAAACAAAGAAAACACAAGAAAACATGTCAACGATAATAATTCACCACAAGAACACAAACAAACACGACTAAAGGTCCGCTTCCAAGAGATCAGAGTATTCTGTCTGGCACGTACCAAACCAATTCGTTATTCGATAAACAAGAATCCAAGAAGGAAGAAAGGGAGGAGAAGAGAGAGTAAATAAAATTTACAAGGTTTCTCGGGCTTTCCGTCGATCCATTTGGAGATGGAGAAATGAACCTTCTCCCGATCCAGCGCTTCACTCCGGTGAGGCTCCTTGAGGCAATTCCTCACCATGCTCGCGCACTTGTTCGAGTAGCTCACGTACGTCATCCCCGCCGCTCTCCAGAACGGCCCCGCTGCTCCGGCCGACGCCATCTTCCGTCCACCTTTTTTTTTCCACTGTTACGTAACTTTTGTTTTTTACCTTTCCTCTGGTTCCTGTGGGGAAGATGAGATCTCTTCAAAAGAAAATCTAACAGCTTGTTTTTAGCTGAACGATTCCAGTAACGAACTTTGCGATTTTTCTGTTTTTACCAGGGTTATTAAAGCCGAGCCGACCCGCTCGGCCCGACCGGTAAAACCGCCACAAAGTCACAAAAGCGGCTCGGAACAGTATAAAAGCCGCTCCGGTTTTATGTAGCGGTTGACGAGCGGTCGAGGCAGTTAACCGCTCAAGCCAATCGAGCCGCTCATCCGGTTTTTGCCTTTCAGCCGTTAAATTTAATTAAAACTTGCAGAAAATGAAAATTGAAATAAACCAAAAATGTCGGGCTCTCAAACTGAATCATTATTTCCATTTCACAATTTCGAAGGAAAGAGACGAGCTCTGATTAAGAAATGTCCATTATTTATACTGATAACGTTTATTAGGTACCGGTTCTCTAACGGTTTTTAAACGGTCTAATGTCGATCGGATCATTAAAGTGCGAGCCTTTCGCATTAACGGGTCTTGCTCCGGTTCGGTTCTGACAACTGGTTTTTACTTTTTAGTATGGTGTTTATTTTTACTATGTTGCCCTGAAGTGGTCTTGGGCCTCTAGTCAATGGGTTGATCTCCTTGGGCCAAGCCCATTCATCTCCGGAATTTCTGTTGGGCCCAATAAGAGGCTAAGCAGTTGGTTTTGTTGGCGGGGATTCTTCCAACGACCTCTGTTACTCTTTGGCCTTTGCTAATTGCTATCCATCTGTTCTATCAGGATGTCTCCGGAAGCATCTCCGACGCACCTTTGCCGCCATTTCCCACCTCCGTTTCTGCTCCGACGGAGCTCCTTCTCCGCCGTAGTGGGTTCCTGCCGGTTCCCGTCTGTCAGCTCTCTCCATCGTCATCCAGCCCAGCTTCTCCGCCTCGTTTCCTCCCCTCCATCTTTCCTTCCCGCTACAACGACCGATTTCCGCGGCAGACCGACCAAAATTCCCGCCATTCTCGAGCAGGAGGCTCAAGAGACGGTGGATCCGCCACCTGGGTCGCCGGTGAAAATCGTGGCCGTCGTAGGAGGGGGAAGCGTCAGCCCGCTCAAGTCCGCTACTTGGGAAGAAGTCATGCTGCACACTGTAAGAATCATTTTGGGGAATTTCTTGTGATGGTTTTAAACTTCGGGGGTTTGCTTCAAATTTTGAAATTTTTTGGGGTTTGGGTTTGTGAAACAGGCGAAGAGATTGAAATGGGTCGATGAAGCTTACGAAATGCTAGTTTTCACTGACGAGTTGGAGGAATCTGATGCTGGCCGCACCAAGATTCTAGAAACGGAATCGGAAAGTGCTGATATATTGCTTGTAGTTGCTGTAACAAATCAAGCATCGATAGATTGGATTCAGAACAAGGGCAAACATGTACCCAACATTATCTGTTTCGATTCATCTTCGAAGCTGGTGAACAAGCTTGGTGGAGCTGATGTACAGAAGGAATCGAAGGACGTCGTGGAGACTGTGGCCGAAGCATGGAGCAGGCATAACACGGATGATATAAGATTCTGTTTGTTGGTGGTCATCAATGCATACATAAGGCCGGTTCCAATCCTCAAGAACTTGAGATCAAAAGGGTTTTCGACACTAACCTGCATGGTTAAGAATTGTGGATCTCAGATATTGGATTGCTTGTTCGATCCCAACTGCAGGAAAGCTCTGCAGTGCCTCAACCGTTGTAGTCCCGTGGATCAGGTTTGTAACTATCGGTGCATCGCCTCGTACGAGAGCCCCAAGCTCGAGGCATTCTCGCTTTGTGTGCTGCAGAAGCACAACTGTCTTGAATTAGATGCCAAGATCCCTGAAAAGCCTAGTGTTGACCCCATGGTCGCGTTTTGTGGGCAGGAGATGACTCATGAGATAGCCGAGGATCTCTTTGTGGGTTGGTTAGGGAAATTGGAGTGGAGTTGGAGAGTCGTCGCTGGTCAGAACCCAGCATATGATCAGTTCCCATGTCAGTATCAGTTGTTCTACAGAGGGAAGGCCAAAGGGTCATTCTGGTATGAACCAGTTTTCCAGGTGAAGACCTTGGAAGGAGGGGCCATGGTGTGGAGAAGGAGAAAGTATCGAGTCAAGAGAGACAAACTTCCTGGAACATTCAACTTCAGCGTGTTGGACAATGGGGTTGTATCGAATGAGTTCTGGACGATTGTGGATGTATGTGATGAGCTGACCTGGGGGTTGTTTCATTACAAGGGTGCTGCTCGAGTTGCTGGTCAATCATATACTGGCGCAGTTCTCGTTAGTCCAGATGGACGGTTTCCGAGCGAGAAGGAGCGCAAGAGAGTAGCTTCTGCCTTGGAGAAATGTGGGATCAAAGAATGGGAGCTTTTTGAAGTGGATAACTGTTCATGCCATGATCCTCCACTAGGAATCCCAGATGGGTCAGCTTTGCATTCGGCGATTGATGTTAGAGACCTGAAGTTGGCCTCTAATTAGGTAAATGCCAAAGTTTGAAGCACTACTTTCTGTACTTCTTATATGCTCAACCTTAGACAGGTTCAAGTGAACTTAGCAGTTGCAGGCATGGAGAGAATGAGATTATCTGCACAACTTCTCTCTGTCTCTCTTCTATGAGAAATCATGTGTCACATTAGTTAGAATATAAATACAAGAAAAACTAATACTTTGTATTCTAAACGTGTAGGATTGATGCATACTGTATAGTATCCGTCCTGTTCATTCATCTGGCTTAGTTTTGAGATTGCTGAACGATTGTTCTACCAATCCCTGTATTATATGATTATAATAAGCACATTGTGTTATTAAACAAAAATATGACTTCCAATGAACAAATTCATGTAGTATGTTGCTTATCCATTTTTAGCCTCTCTGTTAAACATTCTGTCTAAATCTGCTATGATTAGCTTTATATGATCCAGATGCCATGTATGTTGAAAGGTCTTGTTTAGTTCTTTTGCCCCTCAATTTGACCCCTAGACCTCAAATTTCCTAGCATTTTTTACGACGCATTCGTCATTTGGTATCCGAATTAGTTAGGAGACCAGATTTTCAACATACACGACACTTTAGTCATCAAGGACATACTAATTATAACAGTTGCCTCAAAGTTGAGCTATATTAACGGACTAGAAGCCATCAGGAGAAGGTTAAAAATGAAGCCAAATGATCAAATGAGAGAATTGAACAATCCAGAATGGCTACAAAAAACTGGAAGCTGAGCAGAAACCAAATCTCAATTTGATACCTTAAATCATCTGCGCCATTATTACAATATAAGCATAGGACCACAGATGTTATTATCATCACATATATATATATAACTTCAACTCAACCATGATTCAGTGGTCATCTATAGAAACTGTCTATATGCAGAATGCAAACCATGAGCACTCTTTTACCTGTAAAGAAGCAACAAAGCTTTTTGAACAAGCTTACAACACAATTAGGTGACCCTCCCCCCTCTCTCTGGGCCTTCCATAATCTTATAACATCTTCTTCTTCTTTTCGAAGTAGGCATAACTACGTTGGAACTTCAGTATTCCCCATACCACATGCAACAGACTAATCTCAGGCCACAGTGCTGTGGGCGAATACAACGTGCAATGAGTCGTCTGCCATAGCTGATAATTGCTCAACCTCTTCTCCCCAGAACTCCTCAACAAGATATCAGGGTCAGGAGCTACTCCCATATACATGTGCTTCTCAATGTCCACCAACTGTATAGCCGAATGCTCATTCACCACCCTACCATCATCGCCCTCTTCGTCTTCAATCTCCTCCATCTTATCCTTACAACACTCCCTAACCGAATTCACAATCTCATCGCAAGAAGTGTATGCTATGCAGATCAAGAGCACACACCTGGTGTTATGTGCAGTAGCCTCCATAACTTTCTCCGCTGCAACCCTCACTTGCTCGCTCAACAGCTTCAAGTTGCCAACAAAGTAAACCCTCACGCCGTACTGGTCTGCAATGCTGCCTTCCTCGAGAAGCCCCTCGGTCTTCTCCAGGATCAAGTCCATTATGGTCTTGACTTCCTCGGGGCGCCTCTTGAAGTTGTCGATGCTGAAGGCATAGACGGAGATGTACTTCACTCCAACTTCGTAGCAGTATTTGAGCACCGAGACCAGAGCGAAGAACCCTGCCCTGTGACCAGCTCCTTCCCCCATGTCCATCTTCTTGGCATAACGGCGGTTGCCATCCATTATGAAGGAGAAATGAGTTGGGATTGGACCCATGCAGAGGACCTTGAAGAGGCAACTCCTCATGAAACCACTTAATCTGCCTAGCAACCCACTGGCTCTCTCATTAGCTTTATCCATTTCTTTTTTTCCTCCCTTTTCGGATCAGAAGGCAGTTTTAATGGTCGAAAAACCTACCCCTGGTGATCAGAAGAGTACAAATCTGAGTTATTGACTTGCTAGAATGAACAGGATGGTCAGGAACATAACCACAAAGCAAGAATACAAATGAACAGCTAGAAAACCAGAAAAAAAAAGACTGCAACTTTCTTTCGGATCAAACCACCCAAACTCAATCGAAATGCAAAAGCAAAAAGCTCAAGTCAAAACTTGATAAAGAGCACAGGCTCGATAGAACAAAACCAAAAAAAGAACAACAACCCAAATCCCACAAAAACTGGAGCAGAGAAACAAACAAGAGAAACTAGAGCAGATTCCCCATCGCAGCAGCAAAAGAAATGAGGGGGAATCGGATGAACAACCTGAAAGAGCTGACGAAACGGGAAAGGAGATTCCGTCTGAAAGCGTGAGGCTGCGGCCTTCGCCTGTATAAAAAATGGCGAGGCAGTTCACAATATATGAACTTGCTTGTGAATACTGAGTAGCGAGTACTGTGTGGGGAAGAAGAAGAAGAGGAAGAAGGCGACGTTACTGGCCGTCCTTTCTCTTCTGTAGGGGGAATTTGTTGGCCACAAAGAAACAAAAACAGGGCTTTGCGAATAACGTGACCCCCGCCAAAGCTTCGGAGTTACCTACCTCGCTACCTTACCTATTTGATTCCTCTCTTTCTCTGCCTCTCTTCCAGTTTCCACAAAGAGAGCCAACTGCCAAGTAGGGGTTAGATTCTGTAGACAGTAGACGTACAAATTCAACAACAACGCTTGGATGAGATGCGAGATCGGACGACCCATAAATGTCAAGACAGATCCACTCATGTCGAAATTGATATCACTTTGCATTGCATTGCATTGCTCCAACCAACAAAACAATTACGCCTAAAGATGTATCAATTAACGATGTCGTCGTCTTGGTCTCTTTGGACCCTTACAACGTGAACAACAACGCCAGGAGGCCCGCAACTAATCTACCACGGTCGGTGGCCGCTGATCCTCTGTCCGTCGCTCGAAATCTGAATCGGGAACAGACAGTTCCCCCCGCGTCATGTTGCTCTTGACCACCGTCCCGTCATGTTGCTCTTGCTCACGGTGTAAGAATCCGACTCGATCGAACAATTTTACCTTCTTGAATCCATTGTCTTTCAACATATGTACCATGATGTCGGGGGAGGCTATGCTGCCCTAGTCCACCCCAACCCCAGTCACAACAATATTGGGCGATGATGTCGAATTGGAAGTAACAGTGACGTTTATTGTTGAAATTAGTAACAATGTTTGTGGTTCTCCTTATCTCTCATTACAACACCAGCCCTATTCCTTGCCCTTCAAAACAAATGACATCAACATTTATCTTGAAACCGAACGTTTTCACCACAAAAATAATTTATGATTCTCGTCGTGTCCAACATCAATCATTTGATGATAGCTTTTGACGTGTAGAACATCAATCGTTTGTGGTCCTCTATTTTGTACAAAAGTCCCATCATGTCAAATTAAGATATACAACAAAAAACTATCTTGTACACATGTTACTTCCAATGATAGTACGTGGTAGGCTCCAAGTCCCTAAAGGCTAAAGGCAACAACTTTTGGCTTGTTTCCTAAACATAAAGGGCCACTTCGCATTTGGGCAATGCTAGGAGCCTAGAAAGCAACGGACTTTTGACACCATACATTTTGTCCATCGTTTGCGATAACTCACGCCTGCGGACAAAAAACTCTCCCCACTGTGCGGGATCATCGGGCATCCCCACCGTCGACCTGCTCTCTATCGCCCATTGAATAGGGTGTTCTTTCCTCTCTTTAATATTATGAGAAACGGCTTTTACCACATCCAAATAAAGCTTGTTCTTAATCTCCACCCTAACTTGCACGAGATTCAACAACCGAAGCTACTGGTAGTCTCGAGGGGGCGACATCCTCCTATAATAAATAGTTAGCAGTAGAGAGAGGCCAGATGAAGGTGAAATCCCAAAACCGAACGAGCGTAATAGGACCTCCCTCTACTCCTCTAGAGCTCGGACTTTGACAATTTTGAGTAATTACGGTGGCTATCAAAATGTACACTCTTCGGTATCTATATAGGGGTTGTTTGGAAGTTGCGATTGTTAAATAGATGTATTGTTGAGAATGCATGTATAATATTATACATGTATTGTCGAATTTGATGCATTGTAGAATACAACGTTTGGTATGTGTGATTGTGTATGTCGCATCAGCTAAAAGCTGAGACAAAACAATCTCAACTCAACTATCTCAACAATCACAACTAAAAGTTGAGATATAATAATCACTCAAAATGAGTGATAGTTTCTGTCACATCATAGAAAAAATCCATGTATTGTTTCTGCTAAAAAAACAAAAAAATGATGCATTGTAAACAATACATGCATAATGACAATCTCAACAAAACAATCGCAACTTCCAAACGACCCCTATATTTCATCCTATCTTTGAATTGACGGTAAAAATTAAATTAAGGTTAATTTTGAAAATGAAAAAAATTTGACACGTGATTACTCTTTATGTTATACTCAACCCTACCGCAACCCATCTTCCTAGCTGCCATCCCTCTGCCCACCCCCACAACCCCACCGCCTACCAATCCACATTATGCGAGTGCTGCAGATATCAGACATTGGATCGACAGACCTTGGCAAGTTAGGATAGAGCGTGTTTATCGTGAGGCGAACTATGTAGCTGACTATCTTTGCCTCTATGGGGCACTCCCTTCCTGTAGGGATACATACTTTTGATGTACCGAATTGTATGCTCTTGTATTGGCTATAGTTTGATCTGGTGGAGGCTTCGAACGCCTTATTTGATTTGATTTGATGCATAAAGGTTCGGATGCTTTTTAAGCGTTTCATTTTCTATAATAAAAAAAGTTAAAACCTTCACAAATTAGACCAACCGTTTTTGGGCCAAGATCCACCAATAGAAGAAGAAAACCGTTATTGGCGGCCCACTAACGCTTTCGGGCTGAACTATATCCACCCTATCGCTCTGACGCTCTCCGTTCGCCAGAGAGAGATATCTACCAGTCGGCGCCGAGCAGATTAGCCGGCGAAAGCACCGGTCATCCTTCCGCCGAGCTCATCATCACCTCCTCTCCTTTCACACTCGATTCTCCGGAGAGAAAACACTCTCCACTCGAACTTTGAAAACCATGGCTCCTCTCACGCTAGCCGTGGATACAACAACGAAGACTGCTTCCGGTAAGCCAAAAACTCTAATTTCGCATATGGAAAATGGCGTTTCGAGAGCTCGAATTTGTCGGTTTCCTGAACTCTCTGGATTTCTCAGGCGGGAAAATGCACATCGCTCAGCTCGAAACCCGCAGCAAGCCTTTCGCCTCGCTCAGCACTAGAGGAGAAGAGGAGAAGCCGTTTGATTTCTTGCGAACTGTGTTTGGTATGTTTCAGTAACATCGTGTGTGCGCTCAAATTGTTGCGATAGAGCTAAATCAATGGCGTGGTTTCTGATGCGTGCTGGCTACTGCCCTGGTGCAAAATGTTGCAGAAGGAGTAATTGCGGGAGGTACTGCTGGTGTAGTAGTTGAGACGGCATTGTATCCCATTGATACTATCAAGACAAGGTTGCAGGCAGGTTAAGTTGTGGGTGATTCTAGTTTGCGGCGGTGTGATTCGTTATTTGTTTCGGATTTAGCTTTCATTTTTGAATACTACGGAGCATGATTCCTTCAGTTAGATTAACCTTCCATAGCAAATGTGTGGAGATTGATTAGTGGGGATATGATTGCTTGTGAATGTGGGCGTGATTCAGTAATTGGAAGTGATGGTTAAGTATAGGGATTTGCTGAGGTTTTTGTGTTTTTTTTTTATATATATTACAGGCAGCTCGTGGTGGTGGACAAATAGCCTGGAAGGGTCTTTACTCTGGCTTGGCTGGAAATATTGCCGGCGTCCTACCGTAAGTTTGGGGTGCATTTTCAAAGTTCGTTCTTTGTGATCTTCGCCCTTGCGGCAATTGATTGAACAATGTAGCTTGTGTAGGAAGTTAGATAATCTTACATGTGTCAAATCAGTAAATTCACTTTATTTTTGCTTTCTTTTCTCCCTGAAGCATTTGTTTCTCGGTATAATTTTCTGAATAATTCATTTCCAGTAGCTGTCTCAGCATGCGCATCGATTTTCCTGCTGACAGTTTGGGATTGATGTAGGCTTTCTTGTATTGTGTGCAGGGCTTCTGCTTTGTTTGTCGGAGTATATGAGCCAGCGAAACAGAAGTTATTGAAAGCTTTTCCTGAAAATCTTAGTGCTTTTGCTCATCTAGTAAGATCTGCTTTTTCAGCTATTGCACAAGATGTTTGATTCGGCTTCTGCTTAGTAATCTACGTTACTTTCACTTTCAGTTGTGCAAGTCGATATATTAAGCAGGTTAACAATCTGAAAAATATGGTATCCTCTTGGGTCTAATGTGGCTTAAGGTACATGACTATGACAACCTATACTTATTGTGTTATGTAATGCACTTAATGCAGACTGCAGGTGCCATAGGAGGGCTTGCTGCTTCTTTTGTTCGTGTACCAACAGAGGTATAGTTTTCTAAGCATTTTTCTAATTCTTGTTCATCGATTTGCAATCATCTATGAGATAATGATATATATTTTCTCAATCCTCAGGTTGTTAAAACAAGGATGCAAACGGGGCAATTTTCCTCTGCTCCGAATGCTGTCCGGCTCATTGTCTCAAAGGAGGGATTTAAGGGTCTCTATGCGGTATGTAATCTGAACTTGGTCATGTTTCTGTCAAAATGTAGACTGTCATTTCTTAACTATGGATCTGTGCCGAGAATAATCTTTCTTTAGCCTATGGCAAGTTGAAAAGAGTCTTCTTTAGGGTACATTAGGCTATTCTTTCCTGTATTTTCATGTATAATACCCATTCCACTTTAAAATTATTCCTAGTAATTTACCATTCATTGCTCATTTGTTTAACGCAGGGATATGGATCATTCTTATTGCGTGATCTGCCATTTGATGCTATTCAGTTTTGCATTTACGAGCAGCTACGGATCGGTTACAAAGTAGCAGTATGTTCCACAACATGTCTTGGTTTCTTGTTGTTCTTGTCACAAACATAATTAATACACCTGTGTCTTCTCACTCTCTTACCAGGCACGAAGAGATCTCAATGACGCCGAGAATGCTGTGATTGGCGCTTTTGCTGGTAACTTTTGAGTATTTTGATTGCAATTTGCAACCCGGTGTCCCACATTTCCACCTTAAAGATGTGCAATTCTAAATTTCTTCCCCGCTTCTGTAGGTGCGCTAACTGGAGCAGTGACTACCCCGCTTGATGTGATTAAGACAAGACTAATGATTCAGGTTACCTGCTCCCTGCACTCTTCTTAACTTTCTGTGCCATTTCCTAGATTAGGCTTTGGAAAGTACAAGGTATTGAGAATTAAGAATATGAATATCTATGGAATCGAAACCCAATTGAAAGGAAGGAAAAGTGAGTACCAAAGTCAAATCAAAAGTGCATTATATTCAATGTTGTTTTCCTTTTTTATTTGTTCCTGGGAAGATGTGGAACCGATATTCAACGTTGTTTTTGTTTTTGTATTCGAATTTGTCTGTAAACAACACCACAGGGATCAGCAAACCAGTACAAAGGAGTGGTGGATTGTGTTCAAACTGTCATTAGGGAGGAAGGACCTGCTGCTCTTCTTAAGGTGCATCAATCTATCTTCGAGCTTTTGTTTTGATGATAGTTGATTACGGAATAAGGACTGAAGCTAAATAAAGGAAGATTCTTTGCCCCCGCATACCCCGCGACAATTTCTTCATATCACTCATCTTCATTCTGCAGGGCATAGGGCCAAGGGTGATGTGGATAGGAATTGGGGGTTCGATCTTTTTCGGTGTGTTAGAGAGCACAAAGAGGATGCTTGCAGAGAGGCGACCCTCTTCATCTCCTCCACATTTGAACCCGAAGCAGGATTAGGGACTTCCTAGGATTGAGATTAGTTCTTAACATGCACAAGCATCTTTTTTCGCTCATGCCTTTTGTTGTGGTCTTTAATACGTTAGTCGATGTAACGTGAATCAATATCTTGATAATCATTTATAAGAGTTGTTTTGTATGATCATAACATCATTTGTTGATTTATGTTAATCAGGAAATATTTAAGGCTAGCGCAAAGTAAAAGCGCTTGTATCGAGTTCAAATCACAATGCAAGAGTGATGTGAACTAGTTTGATCATGGCATCACTTGATACATGAAGTTTAGAGACATCAAATGGAAATTAACAACAATAAGGAACATTTAACTCATCCCTCGTCTTAAGTGCAAATCAAGCAAGTCCATCTGGCTGTTAGAAGACATTACAACATTGCAATTGCTATCTTCGTAAAAAAATGTACACTACATCTCGTACAAAAATGATTCGCGCTTACCACCACTTTGAAGTTCAACTCGAAACGAAGGCAACCTACTCTGTATATACAGAAGACTTCAATCGTTACAGTAACTCAAAAAACATTCATCCAACCTGAAATTTCCCAACACAAGGGAAAACAGTGTCTACTTCTCCATCCAAAAGTCACAAAAGAGTCCATTCTTCCTTCCACGGCTACCAGTCCTTGGCCACCCTCATAAATCGACATGTTTCTCTCGGCAGTTTCTTTCGCACCAATGACCACCTCTACGAGACTCATTTCCTAAACCAATGTACACTGACGTTTGATCACTTTCTTTCACGCACTGCAATTCAACAAGGGTATTGGCTAGTATGTCGACAGGACTCGTTTCTTTCTCGCCTGATTGATTTCTTTTTCTCTTTCCGGATTTTCATGAACTAGTGAAGCTACCTTCCCCAAAAAATCTTTCCCCATTTTCCCCTTAGCATAGTAGAGTTACTTACCGATTACTTTGAAGACCCATAAAAGAGCTGGCTGGTGAATAGGAGCTTACATCAACGGGAGGTATCCACCACCATGGCCTTTCCTCAGCACAAGAGGGCCTCCATTCTCAGGAACCTTATCCAGGGCGTTCATACAGGCATCCACAACATCCGTAAAGCCGGTAGCAATGCTAGCAAGTTGTACCCTTAGTCTCAGATCCCAGGTCACCTTCAACAAACACCTAAACGATCTTCCCAAGTGCTTGGCCCATTCCGCTGGCATCCCACCCCCGGTCAGCCAAACGGAGAACTGAGACTGGTCTCCCCTTGCCGCCACCTCAGCCCTATAGAATCTTGCCAGCTCGATCAGCGTTGAAGGCTGCAGTGGGAGCACCGCCACAAACTCTGCTACGAACGCTTCGGTCAACTCGGGCTTCAGCATCTGATTCCACAGAACGAGAACCCATTCGCCCGGCTGGTTGAGCCCGTAGGCTTCTGCGACGATGAGGGCTTCTTGGAACTGGGATTGCTCGACTAGTAAGCGCCTGGCGTTGGTCTCAGACAAGTTGAGCCATCGTGTGGTGTCAGGCATTCGAATTTGCAGGGAGACTAGGGAGGCCGAGGCGCAGGCACTGCGGGTTTTGTTGCCAGCGTCCATGGAGAAGTAGACCTCGGCTGCTTCGATGAAGTACCTCATGGCTTCGAGGAGCTCCTCGTTCTGGTCCTTGTAATAGCGGCGGAACCACTGCTCGGACGAGGAACGTGCTCGCGACTCTAGGAGAGCACCGATCTCGTGTTTCATGTTGAAGTGGTTGTAGACCTGTAAAGGAAGAAATGAAATAACACCTGTCACTCCGCCAGGAAAACACCAGAAAGAGAGATAAAGGGAGAGCGGAGAGTGAGGTTGGGGTTTAAAGGAATTAATCCATGAGCAGAACAAGCAACATAAAGGAGTAAGTGGAAGCACAAACCATATCGAATGCGTCTAGATCTTTGGGGTTGAAATGCTTCAGCGCTGTAAGTACAGCCATCCGGAATCCTTCAACAGCCACAGCAGTCTCGGAGTCTGTCTCTGCAGCAGCTGTAAACTTCTGAAGGAGAAGATCCAGCTGGCCATTTTCTATGAGAATCCCAAGAACAAAATAAAGTGCTTGGAAGTTGCCAACTCCAGTTAATAGACGCGCCAAACAAGAATAATCGCCTTCAGACACATAAGCTTCTACTCTAGTTGCAGCGAGGGCCACCAGAACGTCAACTCCATCAAGGCATGCTGACGATTTGTAGAAATGGTGAGAGAGGATCAGGAGCTCGACCTGAGAGAGCAATAGATTTCAGATTAAGCTAACCATTCAGTCATCAGATAAATAGTGTCATCATCTGCATCACTCTATGTCCTTATATTAATAGCACTACAATATAGAGAAACTAGAACAGTAGCTGAGTGAGAAACTTAACACAGAGACAATCAAGCATAAATGCAAGGACCATGTTACCGTAGAAGGCTATAGGGCTTATTTATTGCTCATATATACCACATATATAATCACCATGATCAGTATTTCCCCTTCTAGTGAGAAGATTATACTGAGAAATGGATGTTAGGTTTTTATTTATGGAAAAACAAGGACAAAAGTGAAAAACACAGCAGCAATGCAGATAAATTGGTATCTGGGAATATACCTCACAAGCATGTGGTATTTCTTGCCCAGTAATCACTAAGCGCATCAAGGCATGGCCGATTTCTGGTTCAGAAGGGCAAAGCTTAGCCCACTTTAAGAAGTCTGCAAATCTCCATAGTAGAGGTGCAGGTCCTTCCTCCATCTGAGAATCCATATATCCACCACGATGTGCAGCCAATACACCCTGGAATGAAATAGAAAACACACAGCAGTTGCTCTATTAGGCGACTGAAAATTATTCACTAATGCATCATTGAATACTGGGGGAGAACCATCATAGATTGACAGGATTCGACCACTGTATCAACTAATGAACTTGTGGGGAAGTACCAAAGCATAATGTTCTCAGGTAGACATGTAATGAGTTAGTTTAGTGGCAGTGGTGCGTAAGAACATATTAACACTAGTTACAAACCTTGGATATCTCAAATCTAATTCTTTCATCTAGAATAATACAGAAAAGTTCAGGTAACTGGAACCAAGTTTTCAATTCTTCTGGAAACACCAACTTCATCCCCGAGATTCGATCATTCATGCATTTTCTTGATTGTGGATGCCAGACTAACATAATAAAAGCAAACGGAGGTGTCAAACATGATATTTACAAAACACAGTACACTGACCTTGAGAAAGGACTCCGCCAGAATTTGGGCAATACTACTGGCCGGCATGGAGTGAGTCTGCACCAGTAGTAAAGCTTCGTCAAATGACTCCTGTGCTTTAAGAGAAAGCAGTTGGAGTAATTCAAGTGGCTGCTTGTCGAATGCCTCAGAAAAGTAGAGACCCAATACATTTGCAGCTTTCACCACTGCTATAATTCTCTTGCATATTCCACGTCCCCTACCCTCAGTGAAGATGGGAATTAAACTTTCCAAGACCTGTATCCAAAAGAAAGAAAAGGAAAAGAGGTGATTAGATTTTTTTTCCGTTGAATATGATTAGAAAAATTCGCTTACTCAGGAACACAAATAAAACATTTAGTAAATTTGACAGCTCGAGTTCAAGATTGAGACTGTTGGGAAAGAAACTAACCTCTATTGGATCAATCAGATGCTGCTCTGTGCATAGGTTGTACGATTGCATAACAGCTCGGACATCTTCATTGAGCATGGAAACCGATACTTTGCTACAAGGGGTAGAGATAGCTGCAATCATCAGACAAGCATCCACAAGTACAAATTCAGGAGGCATCTCTGAAGGCGAAAGCTTATGCTGAAGTTGCTTGGCAGCACTTATTTGTCCAAATTCCAACAACGAAAGCACAGCCCTTTCCATTTCTTCAGTTCCAATCTGTTCCTCCCACTTTGAAAACGACACCTCTATTTTCTCACCACTCTCGTCTTGTAACGGCAAGTCGCTTCTAGAAGTAACTGAACTGGAAAATATCTCTTCAGCATCTGATCGCTTTGGATGGAAATAACCTTTGGTTCTTCGTTTTGTTTTCATACTTCCACCAGCAGCCGAGGAACTGGCATCAGCTAGCTGGTTCTTGAGATGTAGCATGCCGTTATTTTCTCGTGAATCGTGCTTCTCGATAGTAGACCGGTTCTTCATTGCATTAATATGACCGTCCATCTTTGATACTAAACTTGCTGTCTTGTCAATCATGTTGGATGGATGTCCAACTGCAGGATCTCGGGTTGAAGCAGTTGAAACAAACTCTCCATCGCTCTTTATCTGAGCCTCTGATTCGACTGCTAGGAGCCACACTCTAGTCTCTATCTCTCGAAGTAGATACAATGGGTACACTCTGGTTAAGTGATCATATACATGTCAGACCAGTGCAGTCATCAAGAGAAAATGAACTTCTTACCAAAAAAAAAAAAAAAAAAAAACAAGAGATTGAATGTAAAAAATAGGATCAATCACTTACGGATTAGACAGGGTTATCATCCCACTTAACCACTGAAGTGAAAGCAGCAGCAGTTCATGCAGCTCTTTGGCAGGAAGATCTTTCTCCACTGATTCAGCATGCTTTAGGAAAAACAAGCCAGCCTGTAAAAGGCAAACAAAAGACAAAATGCACTTAGCAACTTTGTAAAACTTCATTCACATGGAAACTGTTGTTTAAGTGAACAAAACCGAAATTACCTGCAAAGGAGGAAAGGAGTATCTGATGAATAATGTTTGACAGTGACCCCACAAAGCAACTCTTTCTTCTGGGACATCCCAAAGAAACTCCTTCCACTCGGCCACCATTGATTCAGCCTGAAGTTTGAAGATCCAAGGCCAAGGAAGAGAGGCCAGGTCCAAACAACAACCAAAAAGACAAAGGACAAGAGGAAAAAAGAAACACAAAGGCCTGAGCATCTGTTTTTCAGAATCTCAATTGTCAACCAAGGAAACTTTAAGAACATAAGCTACCATAGGCAACCAAACTAGTCAAATTAACTTCAATCAAACAGCAGTTAAAAAATGCAGCTGACATAACAATTAATCTTGAGCAAAATCTACATTTTCGAACAATCACAATCCATGGAACACATCCAACAGAATACAGAAGTCAGGTTATGCTTATCTCATGAGCAAGGCAAATCAAAATTGAGAACAAGGATCAAAGTATAGATGTATGTGCTTGCATGTAGACAATTTAGGTTGAGAATCATAAAATCCATCTACTAGCTTAAAATCCTACACAAGAAAGCAAAAGCTATTACCTGGGTCTCAGTGACATGATGAATAGCTGATTTCCAGGCTCCTCCACTGGCCCCCAACTGCCTCGCCCAGTTACGGGCTTGTTCCCAGAGTCCATTCTTTTCCAATGCCTCTAAAAGTGAAGCATCATCCAGAGATTCATTTCCGAGATTTAAACCATCTTCCTTCCGCAATGAAGGCTCTGCTAAATTAATCTTCCAATAAAGTTGTCGATAGTATGTTGCAGCAGACCCTCCATCACCAAACTCAGTTGCCGCAAGCAATTGTAGTAGGCACCTTTTCTCATAAGCAGATGGACAAGTTGAAAGCATGGCATCGGCAGCTCTTACAGCAGTTGAACTTATCCATTGTACTCCGACATGTACCTCTTTACGAACATTTGACTGCAAACTAGATGGTTCATCCCTTATCCTAGCAGAAAAGGAACCAAGGTGCGCTGAAGCTTCAGATAGGCGCATTTGTGAAAATGCCTGACACAGGAACATGAATTGTATTAAGAAAATAGAGTAATTACACTAGTTACATATTGCTGCTGAACATAGCATACGCAAATTCCCCTAATAACATTTTCTCTGTCATGCATGTGCACGAGAAACATTCACGTTTTTTTTTTCTTCAGTTTGATAATTCTCATTAAGCCCGCCTAGAAATAGCTATGGTCGAAAAAACCACAGCCGATGTACCAAATAAGGCATCAGAAATATTCACATTTAGCAGCAATGCAACTGCAAATTTGGTTCTTTACTGCCATAATTCATAAACCCTGATCTCAAATCCCAAGATCTCTGGAAGTCTATCACATTTGTGGGAATCCTACCCTGCAGCAAGCCCATCGTATAAGTGCTCTAAATTGAAAACCCATTCAACAGGCCTATTATGTTCAGAGATTCTGTTTACACCTTTCCCCTAGGTTCGATGTTAATTTCTTATACTCAACAACTATGTTGTCCCGGAGATCTCATCCAACATTACAATACTTGACCAAAACTTAAAGTATCATTGGATAACGATCCAACAGGATTACTGTGCAGCTTCTGGAAGGGTGCTTGAACATGACCAGAAAGAAAGAATGATCTTATCCTTGAATAGTGTGGAGACAAGAAAATGACAATGATCTGCATTCCAGGTAGACAAAATAGACAGTTAGATTAACAGGGACAGAGGCATAACTACAAACCTGAAGCGCTCGGAGGAAAGGTAGTAAAGAACAAGCAGGAAGGAACATTTCAAATGCTCTTAACAAAGGCAGGAATAACTTCTGCTCGCACAGAACAGCCACCATTTTGGACAGGGACACTGGTCCCTCACCAGAATCATCAGAATTTTGTTCACCAACTTGCACTTTACTTTCTTCCCCAGCAATTACATCTTGAGAGATTGATCTCTCCACGCCGTTAGAAACACCAGAAACATCACGTGGTTCAGGTAATTTATTCTCAGATATAGGTTCTATAAGACGTCTCCGTTTCGGACTTTGCCGGTTGTAATGGCATGTCGGAGCTGCAGAACCCGTAGGCAGGGAATTAGTAGCCTCCACAGCAGCTCCAACATTATCAGCAATCTGGGAAGTAATATTGTTCACCTTGATGGATGAAGTTTCCCTATCACCATAAATATAAACCTAATCAGCAAGGTCCTCAATAATGTGAAAACATAGTAAACAACATTTAATTTGTCTAAAAGAAGACTGCAACTCATGGCACATGAATATGATCCGAAATTCATCGAATATCCACAAATGGTAATGACCTTGCAGCCGTAATTTCGAGCCAAACTGTTAGGCAGGTCAAAGGTGGCACTTCAGGAAAGCATGATGCAACCATTGCTAAAGTTGACCAAGACATCTCCTTTGCTTTCCTCAAAAGGGCCGTGCCAGGGTTGTTCTGCTTCTCACAATCGGCTAATACTCTAAATAGTTCAAGAGGAATAAGTATATTATTATCATCTGAACAGGGAGAGCTCCTTTCTCCACTATCAGAGGCAGAAGGAGATCCGGTCTTCTTCGACTGCATGCTCTTCAAGACTGTCAGTATGTGAATTTTGAGACGAGCATCACCAAATTCCTTGGAGGCCTATAATGTAAAACCACAGGGTAAGTCATAAACGAAAACTAAATCAGAATACCTAAACCAAGTCGCTGGAAATAGCACACGGAGCTTACAACTTGCAAAACTGTATCAAAAGGGTATCCTCCAACTTGAGCTTCGGACAAAAATCCAACCTGCAGAAAACAAGACTGTTGTTAGAACAGGAATTCACAAATAGAAAATGAGTTATGCTACTTTGCAACCAAATGATATCTCACACACCCAGTCATTGTCTCTAGCTAACACAGCAAGATACTTCGTGCTCAAGGGAAGTTGATGCATCTGACAGAAAACAGTAACAAGGTTCCAGTGTTGACTTGCAGCTTTCTGCTGAGATCTTAATTCAGCTCCATCACCATTACCAGTTGATAACCATGATCCACAAGTCTTTCCATCTGTCATTGTTGGAAGGCTAGCCTTCTCCAAGTGATATAGGACTAGCATGAGAGCTCGTGAAGGTCGATTGCCAGTCATCGACTTTGAACTCTGCTTCAGCTTATCAGCTCTTGCATAATCACCATGCAGATATTCATCAGCTAATGATCTAGCTAGTGACTCTGCTTTGTCATCTTCAGGAGATACCAGATGAAATGCTGAACCCTTGGGTGAAATTTGTCCATAATTTTCATGATTTTTCCGTAACTTGTAAAATGAAGATATACGCTTCAGGCAGGCAACGTCCACACGAACCATGCTTGCAGATAAACCGCAAAGCTCGAGAAGAAAAGTACACGACGCAACCAGTACGGAATCCTCGAAATGTGTGATAGCGAGTGGAATGACCTGAAAATTCCAAGGAAGTGAACTCTTTTCTCAAAAGCAGACCGCCGTTGCAGATAAATAAATCCATGAAGCCAAAAAGCTAATCTCAAAGGAGGTCAGTAATTCCACCGAAGTGAAATAATTGCACATAAAAGCAAAGAAACTACATCAACATCTGCCTGAGTAATCAGCTCAACTAGCTTGCACTAACTATGGTTCGTTAAATTTACAGGTCTTCTCAAGTCCTTGATAGCAAAGTCAAACAGGTAAAAAATTATTAGCTGACCTGATCAGATCAATTTTTGCTAGGGGTCTTAAGAAATTCTCATAGTGCCATTCTCAATATTTACACACTCAAACCTTAAAGAGTCAATATGGGAGTGGACATTGCCCTAATAGCTCTTGACACACTTAACTGAAACCTTTTACCAATAAACCTAGTAAATAAAATTGAATGGAGATGACTTAAAGTAAAGTCTCTTTTTCCCGGACCTACTTCACGCCAGATGTAATGTAAGCATACAATGAAAAGCACATGATAACTATCAAGCCTTACAGATGAAAGAAGAGCCTCTTCACTGGATACCAAAGGTGCAAGAAGCATTTGCACATCTGATTGAACGTTATTTTGTCCATGTGGTGAACTCCCAGGCTCTCCTTCTTTCTTCAACTTTTGAAGTCTCACACCAAGTACATGGTTAAAAGCAGCCAATGCACGACCACGATGTAAATGGTGTTCAAGACCTAGTCCAGTTTCCTGAAATTCACACCAGAAACACCCATAATTTACTTGATTCAAATGACTGGCAAACAAAATTATTCCAAGATGTTCCTTCCATTATCCAGTCATTAAATTCTAGAAGCCTATGCATTTTGATTTAATTTCTCTCTTTTATAACAAACTCTTGACATAATGAACCTACACTACTGACTTCATTTCTTTCTTTCTTTCTTTCTTTCCAAACAAACAACATACATGCTAACTCAAAGGTTGCTACTCTGCCCCCAATAGTTAACGCATCAGCCATGCTCTTTGAAGAATTCTGTTCATTGTGCATATTTACCAACATACAAGACCATTTAAAAAAAAGTCGGCAACAGACAACTCTGGCAGTAATAAGCTGAAGTGACACTCTCGCAGCGATATAAGGTTGATGCTCGACAATGAAAGGAAGATGCAAGGAGGAATAACATCCATATTGATTAGAAGGAGACTAGGCACCTCAAGCAAAGAACCATAGAGTTCCTCTTGAACATGTTTTTGTACTGTTGCTTCCCAGGCAACTGGACTTATCTCAGTATGCTCTTCTTCAGGAATGTAGAAGTCGATATCTCTATGAAACAAGGAGTCTCCAGGAGGCATACCCAAGAGTGACTGCCAACCAAGAGGGCCCTACAGTGTAGAAAACAGATGAAAAGTATATAAAGTGGCACCACAAGTAATATGAACAAGAAACAACCAAACTTTGAAACACCACGAAATGAAACACTCCCTCACCAAAGCAAGCTAACATTTTCCAGTCAGTGAAGAAAATAACTAGTTGGGCAACCGCGTTTACAAACACTTAACTAAATCAGATAAAAGCTAAAGAACAGCCACAAAAATAGTGGAAATGCAAGAGTCAAACAAGCAAAATGCAACCAACCTGAATGTAAAGCTGAATCAACCTTCGCACGCTCTTTGGAAACCAGCATGGTAACATTTGCAGAAGAGAAGTATCACGCGCGGAAGAAAAGAAAACGTTGTCACGCCATTTAAGATAGCTTGACAGAACTAAAAATCAGAAAACATAGAGCAATGTCAATAAAGAATAAAACCTAGAACAGGGCAATGGACAAAAGGAAGCATTAGTGAGATTCAAGTCAACCATTATTTGTGTTAAGCCCCAAGAAATTTGATGCTCTATCTTGCTTGAAACTCGCGGCCACAAGCGCACGCTGCAATGTGGGAAATTGCTGCAAGGTGGGCCTGAGATTTTCCATTGTGCATTGAGCCGAGCTGCCATGCCTTGTTACACTTCCACTACATAGGCAGTTTTGAATTGGGATCGGGGCATACATCAGAGTTGCTAAAGCTGCCATCTCACCCCCTCCTTCCGCAATGTCGTCAACAGAATGAATTATGTCGTTTATTTCCAGCGTACCAAGGTTGCTATCAGAACTCACATTCCGAGACAATATTGTCCGAGCATTACAAAAAGATGAATCATATTCACGCCCCTTTATTCTTGATAAAATCAACCACTTTGCCCATTGACAATCTCCCTGAATCAAAGTAGCATGTAAAGGAAACCAGCTACCTGTCAACCTTCCACATTAAAAGAGCTACAACCAATGAAAATTGAGAGCAACAACCAAGCAAACAGTCGATATGACCACACAATTGCTAAAATATTAGAAATGAGAAAAAACATAAACTTCTGCATCAATTTCTCATTCTCTTTTGAGTAATAAAAATACTGCAAATCACTTACACTAGCTGAGAAAATTGTTCAATCTAGTAGTTAGACAGGACTGGAAGCTGGATGCCATGGAAAAAGGAACCGATAATCATTCAAAATACTAATGTTCCTCGAATATCCACTGAAAGATTGTCGAAGATTATAAAGTTTGCAAGTGATGAAAAATAAAGCACAAGAAAATCATAGTAATGAAAGGATGGAGACAATAATGACAAACTAACTACCATATCAGACATGTAACTAGGAACAGAGTGTAAAGCCGAAGATGTAACTTACAGCTGCTTCTATTAGCGAAGAAAGCACATCATTATCCAGAGCCATTCTGTGGAGGTCAATATAGAGGTCCAAAAGATTTGGTAAGTTATACTGCACGCAGTGATGTATGACCAATTTATGCAAACCCTGCATCGTGCCAACACTTGGTTTTACAGCTAACACATTTGAATCAGTAGAAGCTTCATCCTCCAGCTGTATATTTTTCAATATGTTACTGATGAAGCCAATCCGGGCTAGAAGACCAACAATTTCAGCTGTCCCTTCCCAGTATTCCTTCAGGAAAATTTTCTTTTTAGCAAGCTCCAGTTCAATAGCTGTCCTTAACCATGTAGAGCACATTGCACTGACAGGAAACCTGACAATCTTCACTCCTGGAATATCCAAGCATACAGCATCTATTTCTTCGATGGTTATGTAGTTGCCATAGTCAGGAGATTCAGAACTATATGGTGAAAACGGAGTCTGTTGTGGGCCATCCATGGTGATCTGGAGGCTTCCATTTGTCAAAACAGATGAAGGAATTACATCCACAAGTTTTAAAGTTTCATCCTTGTCATTATGGCTTACATAATACTCCAATTGAGATTCCCATAAAACATGAACGCCCATGAGAAATGGCTGATCCAACACTATCTGTAAATACAGAAAGTTAATGAAATGAGCTATTCATTCAAGGTCCAATAAACGCTAGAGGTAAATAGAACAGAAGATTAAAGAGGTTAGAGAGCGTGACAGAGAGGAATTGCATCTTTTTCCATACAAGATGCAACCCTGCATCTACTTTCTATGGGAACTGTTGAGGACTCTCTCCGGAACTTGAATCACAAGATTAAGCTCCTGATAAACCATCTTTCAAAATAACTAGAGGATTGTTCAAAGCTTAACTGCTCAATTTTTACTCTTCCATCAACCAGTAATAAAGTCTGAAATATATAGTAGGTCACGAATTGCTTGGTAAGAAATGAGAAAAACCTAATGATTCTATCAGACCATAATCATTATCCGTATTAAACTTCAGTTCTGATAACAATCTATAAATGTTATGCAATCCACAAGCCTGTCAATCAACAGCTCTACAGCATATGAAACAACCATACAATTCACCAAGGAGCAAAATAAGCTAAACTGACATAACATACTGCAAGTCTGCAATTCATCAACCAAAGGGAAACAAGTTATAGCACATTGGAAAGGGTTGAAAAAGGACAAAGATAAATGGCTCACACGATCGATGGTTCTCTGATCCCATGCACCCGACCACACCACAGCAGCAGCCCAATATCCAGCTTGAGCTACATCTTCATCAACCTCCGCAGCAGGAGGATTTTCACTAATGGTTGTCCATGAACCTAAGACAACCCCATCAATCTCACCACACTCAACAACAGCATCACTATGTGGAAGGGAATTCAGCAAGGACATCCTGATTGGGGAGTCCAGCACGTCCTTTGATGCATTCTGCCTGCCATGGAATGTTCTCCAGAAGCTACTACTAGGATAAAGCCTCTTTCCCAGAAAACACGAAGACAAAATAGAATATTCAGACAGTGAAAGTCAAACGAATACACCAATAAACATAACTCATAACCTCTGCTTCTGTGTACCTCAATTAACATTATCTTCTCTAATATTTTCCACTCATATGTTTCAAGGTAACCATATCTTCTCATTTCCTCTGCCACTTGAACTCGCAGAGACCTCCTCACGGTGCCAAATAACAATTGCTTAAGACAGGTTTCAGTGTCTTCTCCTAGCCTTTGCAAAGTTGCAACAGCGAGTCCAGTTTCACCCTGTTCATGATGCATGGTTAATGACGAACAGTAATCATTTCATCTTTGTGCAAGTAAATATCAGTACGCTACCTTTAGAAATAGGTCGTAAGCAATAGCTCTTCCAATCTCACGAACTTCACCAAAAGTATCAGGAGGCTCCTTATCACTATCTCTCTCTTTTGAACGATGAAGATGCAGTTGCAGAACTGCTAGAGGAAGACGACCAGAGTGTAGAGCATCTTTAACTACAGTTTTCAGATCCAAATTATCTAGTTTCCATCGTGCAATCATCTCCTTGGGATTCTCTAATGGCAAAACATTATTTCTAACACTAGAAACAACAAGAGATGCCATATTTGGATCTTGGGGATTGAAACGGTCATCCACAGAGTCTGAGGGCACTAAAGCAAGCTTATCATTGCTAGGGCCCGTGGCGGACTCATAGATCTGCAGCTCTTGATGGTTTAGTGTCTCCAGTGATGCGGCATCTGGTAAAACAAGAGTAAGTTGGGATTCATCTGGATACGAGTTTACTTCTGGCAAATTCAATCCATCCCTGCCATCCACCTGTAAATTGACAAGATTGTGCTAAATAGAAGTAGAGAGAAATAAGTTACTCAAAATGGAATGCAATTCACAGACACGAGCATACCAATCTCTGTCCTGTCTGTTTTGACATCGCGCCAAGCCGATACTGAAGGTTGCGCACTATCTCCAGAAAGTGACCCATATTATAAAGCCTCTGACAGTTATCCATTCCATCATGAACATTTTCTGGTGAAACTGACGGAAGAGAAAACAAACAGGCCATCTTGGGACTGTTTGAATTGTACACCCCTTTATTATGCTCATGCAAACCATCATTGCGTATAATTTGAGTGGTAAAGGACGTAGCCAGTGCAAGAAGCCTGTGATATAGACATGGAAAAGGTAAGAAATTTGATCTGATTACAGAACAATTAAACCATCTTAGACATCTTACCTTGAAGCCGCAGAGACTTCAACATCATTTCCATTTCCAAGAGACATAAGGTAAACTGCAGCAAAGAGCAATCTCAAAATGCCTTCCTCAGCCAAATTCAAATCCATAAGCATCTCTAGTGATCTGGTGAACAAATGATTAAAGGAAAAGTTCAATTTGTGTCAATTAATCATTAACAGGAGGCCTTGGCCACATATTCATGCATCTTAGTTATAAATCAAAGGGTGGCAATTGTAAGCATAATAAAGATTTCAGAAGCCACGTGAATAAAAGGAGCATGTACCATCCTTTCTTTTTCCATGAATAAACAATCACGAAAGCATTTACAGGATATGGAGTCTGCAAAACCTACCTAGTTCTGTAGTTCAAGTAGGTTGATAATGAACAAGGTAAACAACACAAGGGAATAAAGGTTTATGCTTGCATGCAAGTTACGGACGACAGAAGGCTCTATACTTACTTTCCATAATCAACACACCATTAATTTGACATGCTTCAAGGCAGAAGAAAACAAGACCAAAGAAGAAGTCGTCAAACATACTCATAATTAGACATATTCAATATGCTACACTGTTCATACAGTAAGATTACTGTAACTAACACGTTATCATTGAACCAAGTTAACACAGCAACTGAATCCCATATCTAAAGAGTCTCCATGACATACTGAAATTTGAAGCAACAAAAGCACCACCAAACTTTAAATTGAGCTAAATTACGTCTATATCTCACTCCATCAAATTAACGGATTAAGTACGAAACTGGAAGTTCACTTTCTCCACATTATATTTGTCAATATTCAAGCCAAAAAAAGTTAGAAGTTAAATTCTAAAGATTAAATGGTGATAAAAGAAAGTGCAGATCTTGCAAATAACTGAGAGAGAATGCAAAAAGAATCATCACTGTAACAGGACAAACCAATAACTGAATAGGCCAAGGGTGCATAACAAATCTTACTGCTTTATTTCATCAAATTTCAGGTAGTCCAAAGCCAATTGTAGTCTGCGCAGTCTAGATACTTTCAGATTCCAACCTGGTACATGAAGAAATTATGGTTTCAGAAAGATCGCTAACGAAAGCATGCAAACCCCATGGTAGATAAAGTCAGAAGTGAAATGGAACCAGCAAACAAAAACATGAACAACATGCCTCAGTGATATGTGATATGGGTGCAACATGCCTCAGTATAATCGGACAATAGCCTTCTTACCATTTTGCAAACATAACCCATCTGCGACCTCTGGTCCTTCATGCAGAATAATTCTGTCTAAAATTTCAACTTTCCAAGGTGAAAAAGGCTGACTTGGTTCAGCAACACAGAGAGTTCCTTGTACATGCGAACTGCATTCTGACTTCATATTTTGTGGCCGATAACCAATGGTCTCAACAGGAAGGAAGTTGGGTGAAACTGAAATGGAAGGAAGAACAACTGAAATGCCAATCTCAGTCACCAAGTACAGGGACCCCTGAAAATTACAGCCAACTGCTTCGCCAACAAAAGCTTCTATCTTCTCCTCAAGAGAACATAATTTGCTCTTAGAGTTCAGCAATTCATCATCACATATAGTTGTGTTCTTACGCAAACTCAAGTGGAGAAGCTGGTTACTCCTTTGGCTGTCAAGATTGTGCCTCCTAAGGAATTGAGTGATTCCCAAAGCTGAAAAGCATATATTGACATTCTCGCCAAATCTCTCTGTAGGAAGAAAGACTTCACGGATCGGGTGTGCATTTGCCTCGGTATCACCAAAATGATGAATTCCTGTTTTTGATGCCGCAGAAAATCCGTGACTATGTAAGGCTTCCTGCATCCCTTTTCCACTGTGGCCCAACTGTTGGATGCTTCGAAGCAAATCCAACTTGGAATCATTATAGGATGAACGGTTTCCACCTCTTCTAAATGCGCTAGCCAGGAATATTCTCTGACAGCCTATATCCATACTACCAACCTCCCAACCAACAAACATTCCAAGCTCTGAATTTCGGAAATACGGAGGCAACCTATCTCTTGGATTGTGTTCATCTGGCAAGTACTTGCCAGCACAAATCACATATATGAGACCACACCCATCAACTGCAGCTATCAGAGTTGTATGTGATGCAACAAGCAGCTTCTTAAACATTCTTACGTTGGCTCTATCTTGCCCCAGTATGTATGGTTGAGGGTTTAGTCCAGAAGCCTGTAAAATATCTATCTGTGCAACAAACTCACCAGATAATGAAGCATAGAAATATATTAATCCATGTTTACCTAGGCAAACAAGAAGATTATTGGAAAAGCAAAAGTCTGTCCATTCAGCCAAGGGTTCTGCCTCAAAACTTTCCTTCAGCTTCACTGAGGAAACCCACTTGATCCCTTCACAATGTAAACTAGCAACAACCAGTACAGCTTTCGTGCTGGTTCTCTTAGCATCATCCTCGGGATCATTGAAAAAAGAATCCACCAAGGATAAAACAAATCCAACTAGACTATATGTGCAATTGGTAAACACTCTGGAGCATTTACATGAATGAACACTGATACTGTCAGACAAACCATGAGACTTACCTACAACAGTATCACTCAAACTCCCATGAGTAACAAAGTTTAGAAGTGACGAATCACTACCAAAAAGGCGAAATGAAACAACTTCAGCTGAATTAGGAAATGAACCCCTCTCGGGAAACCTGGTCCATAGTTTTCCGTCAGATTCAGCAGTCTCAGCTTTGGTGTAGAAGGAACACAACCATTTTTTTGACGCAATACCTGCCGAAGACTCGTGAACCACATTTTCTGTACATAGATGTTCTGCTTCTTCACCATTTTCATGGGCCTTGTTAACAGCCATATTAGCATCAGTTACCTCAGAAGATAAGCCAAAAAAACCCTCTGCTTCCATGTTCTGAACTGAAGTTGAAGCAGGTCCCCACTCCACCCACCTCCCTTGTTTAGATTGATCTTCCGAAACTGAGGTATCTTTTTCAACTGTTTTATCCCTTTGACGGAATGCGTGCACCACGACTTGGTGACCGTTAGATATGAAGAGAAGATCTCTAAATGAGTCGTTATCAGGCTTACTGCAACTGTCCCCACAAATACCCCAAGCCTGTGAGTTAACACCGCTAAGAAAAGTGTAACTAGTCCTTGTACTTTTATGGACACCAGAAGAATCAGAATCGGAACCCACTGCCGAATCAGAAGTGCAGGGAGTATCATCCTTGGAATCCAAGCTATTGGCTTCCCTTGATGTTGCTGAACAAAAGGCCAGAGAAGACTGATTTGGAAGACCTTGTGACATATTTCGACTTGGGAAATTCCCTGTCAACATGAATAGAAAAATGGCGAAGAAGTAAAATATACGCATCAAATTAACTGAAAGCATCTCAACTTTGCTCTCACACAGATTCAACGCTAGATGAACTTCAACATGAGCAGAAATTACAAAAAGAAAACCTGCTGCCTGATGACAAAGTATACATATCCAAATAACGAATCCCACAATTAAAAGGAGAGCACTATAAGGAGGCAGGAACCATATATCCACCTGTATCCAGCGGAAGCAGTAATGCCTCATTTTGATAAGACAACAACAGTAGCTGCTCCCTTGTCGGAGATATAAAACCTTCACGATAATCAGACAACTTGTGCTCGAAACCAGAAGGCCCCCACTTCAGCAACTGCAGCACAGCAAGGCCCTGAGAATGCTCCATCCTATTCCTGTTCAAAAGGGGAAGACACTGGTATCAACAATAGGATACCTGTTCGTGCATAAAGGACATATTGACATCATGAAAATAGACATGTAACGCGGAAACCACTCCAAAGTAAGACAACACTCGAGGGAGCTAAACTAGCTCAAATAATCATTCATCTTTAGTTTCCCAGAGCTTGATCATGTAACTACTGTCAGAGCTCTCACTAACCAGAGCGGACCATACTTGCAATTCGAGCTAGACTAGCACGGAATTCAACTCAAACTCACAAGGACGAACGCCAATTTACATAACCTCAAGTGAAACTGACTTAACTAACCTCCACCAACGAGTTTAATTCAAAATCTAATAGAAAAGCTCCCAGCCGAAGAACAATGACTCTAAGAACCATATTTCCTTCACTGTCTTCAACTCAATCGATTGCTAGTCGAGAAACTGCAAAGCCCTCACTCTCGCCATCACCATTACCTCATCTCGATTGACATCGGAAAGAACCATTCGAGTGGAAATCAGCTCTCAGCCAAAAACAAACACACATCGAGATGTACACGCACCGAAGAAAAAACAGAAGTTCCGCAGGTTTTTGCAAAATTCGCAATCTAATTTCCAATTCAACAAGTTCACCTAGCCCTAAAAAATGTTTAGAAAATCACAGGCGACTATCGGATTCAGATCTTTCCCCGCACCTGATTGTCATGTCAGCTTTATGGACGGGACGACGGTCTATCCATTGGCGGATACGGTGTGTTCATGAGGATGAAGCTGGAAGTAGAGAAGAGAAACGTCGACGGACCGGATACTACGGATTGGTAGGAAGAAAGAGTGCGTCTCAGTGGTTTTGCGGCGTCGCGCCGGAGAGGAAGACGACGAGAGACCGGTCAGGCGGATAATAATGAAGGAAAGCGCAGGAAAAAGGAAGGAAGGAAGGAACGAGAGATTAATGATGTCCGATTGGAGAGAAAAAGTTGAAAGCGAACTGGGAAATGGAATTTCTTTTCGCTTTTCTAACAAGTGAGAAATATCGCGTTAAACCCTTTTTTATTACAAACAAATTGTATTGTAGGGATGGGTTAAGGGCTAACTTTTGGTGCTAAATTATAGTTTAAATAATTCTAGGTCTTTTTTTTTATATCAAATGAAAAGTGATTCTTATCAACAAAAATGATTTTAAGTCTTCAGATGGATTAAACAAATTTGTAAAGAGAAAGTATGTTTATAGATGTCATCATTTGAAGTTCGATTATCATTATGCATTAATTTATATTCTATATATATTTATTAGTTGCCATCATGTATTGACTTATGTGTTTTAGTTTTCTTCTTGAAGGAATTGTCTTGTATAGTTATTTGTAGTATGGATTTAAAAGAAATTGTAGCATTAAACGGCTTCCTGTATAAGTTCATTTTTCGTATTGATAACTATTATTTAATATTAACATGAATATTCATGTTTCTGTATAGATTGGGGAATTTCTAGTATCTACATTTATAATTTTTTAATATTATTTTTATTAATTTAAATTGCATTGATCTTCATGCAATATACTATTGGTGATTATCAAAAAGAAAATTCTTCGTGGGCTGAGCTCAATTGTCTTTTAGGGCCTAACTATTGGCTTTACAGGTTTGTGGGCCTATTTACGTGAAGCCCATTTAGTCTTGTTCCTCTCATGGGCGCGTCACTATAGCTCTTTGGAGCTCAAGGTTGCTGGCTCGGAGTTTCATCTGTTACTACACTGTATGATAGCCCGGTTTTAAGTATTGGGCCTTCTTGGGAGGCCCAAAATTAGTTTGGAGATTCAATCGAGGCTGCACACTGGACTTTTTATTACCCCAAAGATACTAACAACATGGGGAGGGTTTTTTTAAGCAAAGATTTAAAAAGCGTACAACCAACGATTCAATCCGAGAAATATGTTAGTGGAAACTAAATCGATAGGTGGTATATAATTGTTTATAGTCGATCGACTTGCATACACGAGCCCTGTCCATAGTTTGGTTGTACTTGTGTTTGACCATTTTATTTTATATCCCACCTTTGGCCAAGTGTGTCACCCGACACACCTTGATTCGAAGTTTTTTGTGAAGAACCCACAATTTTTTGGTGAAAAATAATCGAATGTGGGACCTCTAACACACCTTTAATAATTGTAACCGACACACCTTATTACATTAAAAAAAATGTTGTCATAATGTTATTAAAATATATAAATATAAAAGTTATCGGACTTCAGATTCGGTAGTTAATTAGTTGGTTGCATAAGAGTAAAAATTAATTGACTACTTAGTACGTAGTGAGTATTTAGAAAGATAGCTATCCACTTAGAGACAACATCGATAAGGTGAATGAGAATTAAATTGATTAATAAGCTGGTTGAGTCAAGTAATTAAATAGTGAATTCCAGACTGTCTTTCCCCATTGCTTCTTTCATATATTTTTCTTTAAGTTAATTTTCAACTTACTTTCTAGTTTAGTTATTTCTTTCCACGTTGACACCTGTAGCCACCCTTCAATCGTTGGCTTTGAGCCAACGACATCCTCATGCTTATTCAAATTTCCACGTTGACACATGTGGCCACCCTTCGAGCTTCTCTTACCAAATTTCTCATCTTAAATTAGTATTGACTTTACCTCTTGCAACCGCGTTGTGTCTCCTTGTTTTCCATACTAAGCCAAATTTCTTACTTGGGTATCAGGCCTGTGTTGTCGGCTTGATACCCTCTTGTTTGACCCCCCTTATTTGGTACCAGGCTTGGTACCCGGTCGTTTGGCACCCCGTTGTGTCAACTTGTTTCCAAGACTTAGTTTTTGTAGGCCAAATTTTATACTAAGGGGTGGAGGCATCGTCCGGCTATAGGGGCCTCGGAGACGGGCCGGCCATCATATAGAGGAGAAGGGGGTTGGTCACTTAGGCCCAAAAATCTAACCCAACTAGGTCCAGCTGGCTCTTTTAATCATTAATCTTGAGCTGGCCTTATAAATCCATTAATCCCCTTATAATTAATCGATGTGGTACAAGCTGATTTTTTTATGGGTAAACAATCGTCTAGCCGATCGACTTGTATACACGACGAGCCTTGTCCATAGTTTGGTTTAGCTCCAAAACTTATCGATTTACCCCGACAAGAACACGAGAACGCTACTTCTTCCATGGACTAGTCCGAATCTCAACGATACTCGTAATTCGTTTGTCTTTATTTCTTTCTTTGTATCGATTTTATTTAGTTTTATTTGACAACATAATATCTGAGCAATCGCGTGGAGATTCACATCTACGGGATTTTCGTCTCAATTCTAAGAACTACTCACTGTGGGGAGTACTTTCGGTTTTTGAGCTTCAGTCCAAGGGGGAAAAACACAAACAGCCGAAGAGTATCCGCTAGAGAAATTGGAAGGATGCAAATTCTAGCTTTTACTCATTTCGTGGAACACTAGGCCAAACGGTATATTAATGGTCCGGCACCCTTTTTAACAACGAACACATTATCGTTGATTACATATCTATAGTTTCATAAATTTACAAATTCGAACTGATATATGGCTAGGTTTTCTAGAGTTTCAGCCCTTCCAATTCACATTACTAGCATAACGTGACATGGACAATAAAATATAATAATCAACAAAGAAATACATCCATATGCTCTCATTTCCAAATACTCATAGCCGTCGTACCCATCCCATATCCATGCGGGGTGAGGCGGTTCTGCAGTCTCACTCGCAAAACCGAGAGTTTTTCGGTTGCTCGTGGATAATTCCTTTCGTACATATAATAATATCATTACTTTTAACTAGAACACAACATGTATAGATTTTCAAATTACAACACTAAAAAGAACTAACGAATCTTGAGATCACAAAGATATACTCATTCCTAATAGAATTTAAATCACAAAGATACACTCATTTCTGAAACGTTCAGTAAACCGTAAGACAAAGCAGAGGAATCAAAGATGAGATTTTGAAGTACGGAAGAGGGGGTTTGAATCGAAGAAAGAAACATCTTGATTTAAAAGAGTTGATCAGGGTGAATTGGAGAAAAATAAATTACGATTTAGTTTGGGTGGCCACCCGGCCTCAATTATATCTCAAGCTCTTTTCTTTTATTTCAATTTGCCCTTGCTGTTATTGACCGATTACAATATAGTTAATATTTATATATTTAAAAAATATATTACAAGTACACCCTTCCATTTTGTAGTATAAAACTATAAATAGCATCAATCCTAGCTAGCCCAACTGCTTATTAATTAATCATCACCATGGCTATTTCCTTCACACCCTTCTTCTACCTCCTCCCCTTACTATTCACTGTACTCGAAAACGTCGTCGTTAAAGGCGATCCAGACCTAACTTTCGTCTCGAACCTCTGCGGCGGGGAGCACGACGTGAACTCCCTCAGAAAGGACCAAGCCAGGAGGCTCGCAAGTGGTGCCGCCCAATACGCTCCGCTCACCGGCGAGGTTTGCGGCGGGACAAATGAGGAGCCCTACTTGTATTTTAGGGCTACATGTTCACCGCCAGCCTCCATCTCTCCGGCGGATTGCGCCGCTTGTGTTTCCTACGCCGGAGAACAGCTGGTGGAGCAGAACGTGTGCGACGATCAGTGGGGCGCCCAAATCACTTTCGCCAGTTGTTTCCTGAGGTTCGAGACGTACCAAATACCAGAGTGTCCGCCGCCGGCCGGGTGACGAGCTAGGAAGAAAGAAAGAAAGAAAGAAATATATGTTTGTTTAACTTTGCTTACTTTGTGTGATTGTGGTTTTCTGTTATGCGGGTAACAATGTCGTCAGTTCGAGATAAGGGCTTTGGGCTGGCCCTTTTGTCTTGTGAAGCTGGGTAAATAACGAGCACGGTTAGAAGTTAACGGGTATTTTTGCTTTATGGATTTGGAAAATGAAGGTTTTGATAAAATTTGAATGTTGTAAAACCATGAATATAAATGAAGGTTTTAGGTTTATTATGGACTTGTAAAATATCATTGTTTGTTTCATCGATTTCATGATGGATTTGGTTAATTAGATTTGTATGCATGAAGTGAAAATGACCTATATTACCCTTATTGGTATGAGATGAGCAAGATAAAAGTAGGGGTAGTTTGGTCATAAATGATGGACTTTAAAATCCATAATCAAATCCCACATCAAGAGGTGAAATTTTCAAGTCCGTGAGACCCAGGGATTTGGACTCATAAAGTCCATGGGGCCCACAAATTTGTTGTCATAAAATACATGAAGCAAACAATGGATTTTGGACAAAGTTCATGATAGATCCAAATCCATTATCAAATCCATTAAGCAAACGACCCCTAAGTTAAAAGAATCCAAAGGGTGGGTAGCTTTTTGTTAGTTGTTGAGTACGTACGGGTAGCTGTTTTTTTAGTTGTATTGGTTGTGTGTTGATGACTTGATCGATGTATTTAATCTCTACTTCGTTCTTTGAATAAAATCAAGTTTGTGCCTTCCATTCTCTTTAACATGTCCGTGAGGAAAACAAGAAGAATTTTACAATGCTTTAAAGCATTATTGGTGCTTTAGTTTTTGTCTTTATGATACAACTTTAGTTTGTACCTTTACTCTTTTGTAAAATCCCTTTATTGTACAAACTAAAGTTGTACATTTAAGTTATACAAACTAAAGTTGTACATTTAAGTTATAGTACAACTTGAAGAGTTGAAGTTGTAACACGACATAAAAGTCAGATTCCCTTCTGGTACAACTCTAACTTGTACCTTTAACGATATGGTACAACTTCAAGTTGTACTTTAAAGCACCAATACTTTATAGTATAGTAGAAGTGCTCGGAAAAGAAAACAAAGTTTGTTAATTATGTCAGGTTAATTTTCGTGAAGCTTTTGTTATTGAAAACTTTGTAATGAAGAAAAGAACACAGTACACAATCGGTTTACGTAGTATTCCCGATCGATGTGAGCGAGACTAAATCAAGGAGAAGGAAACCGTTCATGAGTATACGAATTACATGAGAGCAGTATATATAAATAAATGCTAATGCACCAATACTCATAGGGTCAAATGTAGGAACCATGAAGGTTAAAATACAAAATGGTCCCTAATAGAAATATGTATCCTTTACCCCGCAAGCGGAGCATGCATGCCACAAATATCAAGCTTTGGAGAGAAGATAATGGAACTGATCACCACTTAGCCCTTTGGTGAAGATGTTTGCAACCTGATCGCGAGAAGACACCTTGGTGGGAAGGATGGTGCGAGCTGTAACATGATCCCATACCAAATAGCAGTCAAGCTCAACATGCTTCGTCGTCTCATGAAATACTAGATTGGCAGCGATATGCAGAGAAGTCAGGTTGTCACAATAAAAAATGGTAGGACCAGACTGAAGAACACCTAGGTCACGAAGGAGGGCACGGAGCCAAATGACCTTGCTAACGGCACTAGCCATTGACCAAATGCAGAGCAACCTACTTCTTAGTATATACTCCACGAAATAAAAGCATCCCCCAACATAACAAAGTAGCTTGAGGAGTAAGTTGATATCGTGCCCAATCGGCATGACAGTAGGTAGTCAACTGCAAAGTACTAGTAGACGGCTAGACAATGCCCTGACCTGGCGCATTCTTCAAGTACCGAAGAACCCTTGTGCGGCAGCAACATGTGCAGGAGAAGGGTAGTTCACAAACCGGCTGAGAATATTGATAGAGTAAACTATGTCGAGCCGCGTGATGGTAAGATACTACAAACGACCAACTAACCGATGATAACTCAAGTTGTGGGAGAGGTTCAATCGTGGATCATATACCATTTATTAACACATGTCTCACTCAAACGAAAGCCACCATATATATATGCTTAACTTTGCACAGGTCCAGACGTCATATGCTTAACAGAACAGATGGACGTCATCCAGAATCAAATAGGAGACCTTTTGGTCATAGAAGACTCTGATACCATGTAAAGAACCAATCGATGCCAATAATTTGAGTTTTTAGGAGAGGTTCAATCGTGGAACATATACCATTCACTAATAGGCCACACGGTATCCTTGTGTTGATGTCCTATTAGTCGTCTAGCCGACTTGTATACACGAGCAGGGCCGGCCAAGAGGGTGTGCTAGCCCGCCCTCCGGCACAGGGCCTCAGAATATTTGGGGCCTCTACTTAGATTCGTTAGTTACCGATCGTATATTGTATGTTGTATTTTTCGAGTATGATTGATTGATTATGAGTATGATGATGTGCTTAATAGATAATTTTAGCTATAGTCACAATTGAAAAGGATCTCATGGAGAATACGAAAATCTGAAAAATAATAGATAATTTTAATTTAAACAATATAGAAAGATATTACATTTTAAATAATGTTATTATAATCATTTTAGTTTTATTATAGTTAAAGGTCGATTTGGACCACGTCTAGATTTTGAAATAGGGCCTCCACGATCTAGTAGACAACCCTGCACCCACCTCTCGATCAATTTAGACTATTTTCATTTCTCCATTCAAATTTTTGCGCTATATCCATTTTCTCTTCCTTCCAGATTTACTTTCCTCCCTACTAGGGCTGGGAATTCGGTCTTGGTTTCTTGGTCAAATTGGAAACGAGATCGTTTATTCCTGATGTAATCTTTTTCTTAACTTAAGTATTTTTTTACAATTATTTACTAAATTTTAATTTTGATAAATTTATGGGGAAAAAAATTAGGGCCACATTTTAAATTTTCGAACAGGGCCTCCAAATATCATGGGACGGCCCTGTACACGAGAGGCATGTTATGATGGGTGATGAAACAATGACCAACCCCCACACATTTGTATCATTGTGGGTGGGTTGGGTGAGTGGGTTTTATGATTTTGGTGGGTCAAATTATTTTTAAATAATTTTACAATGATGAGCCATAAAAGTTTGTATAAAAATAATTGAATATCAATAGTACAAATCAAGAATATTGATAGCTATTAAACATACTTTATTTCATAACCTAACACTAATAATCTCATTTGCCAACAAAAAAATCTTATTGGTAGTTATCATATTTTATAACAATCGACTTTATGTGGTAAGTTAAGTAAAATTATACAAGGTAATTTTAATTTAATTTGACCAATTACCATTAAATGTTTGATATAAAAAAAGATAGTATATTATTGTAGAATGTGCACTAATGACTTAATATATCAAGTAATTTTGTACGTAATGACCCACCAGTCACTTGCCAAATTTAATTGGTAAAAAAAAAGACCCATATAACCACTCACCACATGCATCTATGTGATCTATCCAAACATGTAATGGATGGATTATATTCTAGTAGATTAAAGTAAATTTAACAGTTGACCCACCCATTCCCATCCCTACTACGCGTTTGTGGGAGTTTCAGTATTTGAGCTTCTGTCAGAAGTAGGGGTGGCTATACGATCCGGTCCGGTTAAATTGGACCAAATTGATCTGGTTGCAGTCCGGTCTTTTTGGGAATATAAGGACCAAAGATTGGATTGGATACAGTCCGGTCTTGATTCGGTCCGGTCTTGACCCGGTCCGGTCATAATTTGATCTTGATTTTAGGTGTTGGAGGTCTCTTATCCGGTCTTTATCCGAGTTTTTTTTACCTCAAATCCAAACCCGAATATGAGATTGGATTGTTTGCTATCCGGTCCCAGTCCGATCCTGTTCCGGATTATACGGTGCGGTTGCTGGTAAAACCAAATAATACGGGACCAAATAACCAGTCCTAGTCAGAAGGGTCTTCTTAGCAGTTGGGATGATTAATTTTCGGTGAGACTTCTCCCTAATTGGTAACTACTGAGAAATCCGAAGGATGCAAATTCTAGCTTACCCGCTTCGTGGAACACTAGGGCATCCTGTATATTGGTCCGGCACCTTGTAATAATGAACACATATCGTTGATTACAAATATTATCTGTAGTTCCATAAACAATTCGACTTTACAAATTCCAACTGATATGGCTATGTTTTCGAGAGTTTCAGCCGTTCCCTTGACATTACGTAGCATAATGGGGCATGGACAATTAAATGTAATAATAAAAAAAATGAATGCATACTACCGCGCATAGTCCATGAAATCGTACTGTACCGACGGTTTAACCACGAAATATCAGTATTGGAGGCTAAATCGATAGACGGTAGTTAACGGTCTAACGGTTGAACTACGGTTAAACCACGATTTTATCATAAAATATCATATCGCTGACTTTTTCGGTACGATATCCGGTACGGTTTCATGGATCATGACTAACGGTAGACGTGTGGAGGGTTAGGGACAGGTTTCTCTAAACCATATCACACTGTCATCTCCAAATACTCGTACCCCTATCCATCTCATATTCATGCGGGGTGAGGCGGTTCTGCAATCTCATATGCATATATACCGGGAGTTTTCAGGTGCTCGTGGGTAGTTTCCTCCGTATACCTAATATTAGGGAGTGGCTATACGATTCGGTTAAATTGGTCCGAATTGATCCGGTCCTGGTCCGGTCTTTTCGAGAATATAAGGACCAAACATTGGATTGGATACAGTCCAGTCTTGATCCGATTCGGTCTCAATTCGCTCTTGATTTTAGATTGAGCTTGTGAGGATTTGAGTGAGGGTGAATAGGTTAAATTTTGGGTGTTGGGCTCTCTTATCCAGTCTTTATCCAGTTTTCGGTCCGGTCCAAACGGTTTTTTTACCTCAATTCTTGGCTCGAAAATTGGATTGGATTGTTTGCTATCCGATCCAGGTCCGGTCTCGGTCCGGGTTATACGGTCCGATTTCGGGTAAAACCAAAACGCCTGGACCAGATAGCCACCTCTACCTAATATTACTACACCTAGCTATAACTAGATTTCAAAAATGTAGATTTACAATTATAACGCTTAGAGAGCCGAATTAATGAATCTTGAAAGCACAAAGATGCAATTATTCTTAATAGAATTCAAAGAATCCAATTCTAAAACATTCATTAAACCATATAAGGTATAAAGTAGAGGAAGCAAATATGAGGTTTTTAAGTACGGAAGAGGGTTCGAATCGAAGACGAAACATCTGGATTAGAAAGTGTTAATGGAAAATTGAAAGGAAAAAAAAAAAAAAACAACATTAAGGTTTGGCTAATTCCTTCCATTTTGTAGTATAAATAGCAATCAATCCATAGCCCAACTGCTTATAACCTTTCATCAACCATGGCTAATTCCTTCACACCCTTCTTCTTCCTCCCTTTACTATTCATACTAATGATCACTACCACCACGACGGTACTCGAAAACGTCGTCGTTAAAGGCGATCCGAACCTAACTTTCATCTCGAATCTCTGCGGCGCGGAGCACGACGGCGTCGGCTCCCTCAGAAAGGATCAAGCCAGGAGGCTCGCCCGCAAGGCCGTCGAATACGCGAGGCCCGACCTCCCGTACTGCGGCGGGACACTGGAGGAGCCCTACATGTACTACACGGTTAAATGTTCAGCCTCGACCTCTCCGGCGGACTGCACCGCTTGTGTTGCCTATGCGGCTAACCAGTTGGTGGAGCAGAATGTGTGCGACGATCAGTGGGGCGCCCAAATCACGTTTGCCAGTTGTTTCCTGAGGTTCGAGACGTATATAATACCAGAGTGTCCGCCGCCGCCCTGACAATATACGTTGATTGAAGCCCTTGGCTTGGCACTATGTTTGTTTACTTTGTTATTGTACTTGTGATTTTAGTTTTCTTTTATATATGTGGGTGGCAATATGATGAGGGAATTTTCCATGTTTTGGGCTTTGGGTAGTTTCGGTTTGGGCTAGGGTGTTTTTCCTTTTGGGTCAAGTTTTCCTTTTGTGTTTGGAAATGGGTATTCGGGTAGGATTAGGTCAAGTCTTAGGCTTTTCTAAGCCTATAAATATGTACCTTTGGCAATAGTTCCGTATCAATCAAATAAATCAAAGGTTAATAGACACCAACGTCTTTCTCTCGCTTGTGAGTTACAAGCAAAACCCTTGAATCGTGGGTTACGGTTCATCAATTGGTATCAGAGCCTGGTTCCGAATCCGTTCGGGATCTGTTCGCAATGGGTACCGGCACGGCAGCTGAACGATGCTCGGCGTTAGAGGCAGCGTTCGAGGAGATGCAGGCAGGAATCGCGACCAATACGGAGAATATCGCGAATCTGACGGCGGAGGTCACCGCCCAAGGGGCGCGCATGACTAGGATCGAGGCCATGATGGAGACGGTGCTGGCCAAGCTCGACGCGTGGATTCCGCAGCGGGAGGGCAAAGGGGCGGCGGGCAATGGTAGCGATGAGGAGAGCTCGGAGGAGAAGGAGGGAGAGAAGAGTACGACCGGGATGAAGATTGGTGAAAGGAGCACGACTGGGCCAAAGACCGGCGAGAAGGGCGAGTCCAAGTCCAAGTTCGACGACGGCAGCGGCGCGCGGCACCGCGACTCGGCCGTGCAGGGGAGCTTCGGCGTCAGACACGTACTATGCGACAGGATTTCTACACCGTAGATCTAATCTAACGGTGTTTAATAATTGGAATTAAATTATTTAATTTTTACAATTTTTAAATGATTAGTTGGTCCTATTACTTTTTTATGCGTACCCTTTAACCCCTAAACAAACTTTTCAACATATTTTCGAATTATAGTACCAAATTTTATTCTAATCATGTCTCCAATCCATTAAGTTATATTTACTTACAATTTTAGTTTGGTGATTTATTCCTTTTCCCACTCATGTCAAAGCTCAAACCCCCTTTCCAATTGCTGTCTGTAGTGGCTAACGAACCCTCTCCTCTCATCCTGGCTATCGATTGAAGCAATTGGATTTTGCGCTTCCCATCGATGTTTAATCCCTCTATGGATTAAGAGAGTGATCTGTTCGAGGCATGATGGATTGAATCTTGTGCTCGAGAGGCGGATGAGGAAGGATCAGAGAAGTGAAGAGTGCAGACTCGAGAGGTGGGCCGAAGTCGGATCGCCCATAGCGGTGGGTAGGTACGCTGCCGTATGCTGCCGTCAATTGACGGTGAACGACTATGACCTTTACGTCCTGTAAACAATGACTAAGGCTGAAATGGAGAGAGGGGATTGGGTCTCGTCAAGGGAATTCTCTTGGTCGGAGTCCAGAATCGTAACGGAGTGAGAAAGTTTGGACGATGAAGAGAGACGGCCGTTGGATTACGGTGGTGATGGCGGCAACTGGATAATTGGCAATTTGGGAGGCTAGGGAAGACGCCTATACATGAAAGGGAATTCTCTTGGTCGGAGTCCAGAATAGTGAGAAAGTTTGGACGATGAAGAGAGACGGCCGTCGGATTACGGTGGTGACGGCGGCAACTGGATAATTGGGAATTTGGGAGGGCTAGGGAAGACGACAATACATGAAAAAACGGCATCGTTTTGTGCTCGTCTCTGAATCGAAAGTGGCCTGGAGAACGGTGTCGTTCTATATGTGTAGCTGAAAACAAATTTTTTTTTGTAATGGAGTGAGGTTCGAACCAGCGTCCTGGTCATTACCATGGGCATTCTTCACCATTCATGCTGAACAAGGATTTTGATTCAATATACTTCCACTGTTATATTTATAACTATAAAATGAGTTCTTGTAAAATTAAAACATAAAACTAAACTAAGCAGGCCTTTTGTACCAGGCCCAATAGGTGATGTTGGATCTTCTCGCTTGGGAAATTTCCATCAGTGGAGCCTCCTCTTTGTTTGTCTTGCTTGCTTCTCTTAGCTGAACTTGCATATAATTTTCAGGTTCTTGATTAGATATGTCGATTGATTGATGATAAATTCAGAGACTCGGTGTTGTTAAGCGTTTGCCGAGCATCGTTGGTAGGTCTTCAATTTCTCTTTTGTACTTTGAATTCGCAAACCTTCCATTAAAGCTTGTATATAATTTGTACACATTATCTTGCTACAGTAGGGATATGTTTGGGTGTTGCTTAACTGAGGCCCCTCTCGTGCATTCTCTGATTTAGATGTTGTTATGATGGAAGAAGACTTTGATATCTTGAAGGTCTATCATTTCCTCTGTCTCTCTCTCTCTCTCTCCAATGCATATGTGATATGTGTAATTACGTCTGTCTTCGGTTCATAAATAGTGATGGCCGAAATTTTTTTTGGTCAAGAAAGAAACAGTACTAGGTTGGCTACTGATAAATTGATTCTCATTCTTCAGGTGTTCTTTATAGCCAGTGGAGATGGCCTCCCTCGTTCGGTGGTGGAGCCAAACGCAATAGAGGAATATGCTTGTAAATAGTCTTGTCATTTGGGGATTTAATCTGTACTCCTTGTTAATAGGCTTGCTTTCCTTAGTTGGATCAGTTTAGGTGTCAATAGAGGAATTCTTTTTTTGGACGTAATGGTATTAATAAATTAGGTTCGTTTGGCGGTCTATATAAAGGGACGCCAAGCCTAGAGTTTACCTTGTAAAAAAACTCCTGCCATTTTCCCTGGTGACTTTAGCAAAAGTAAGGCTTTTCTTCTGTGTTGGCGGGGAGAAACTAATTGCAATGGAGAAATCTTGGTACAGTGCAACAACTAAAATAGCTCTTTCTTTGGTCGTTTGTGCTGTTCCTTTCTTACAACCCTTTTCCTTTCATGTATGTTCTTTTGTTTGTTTATGACTTTTGTTTGTTTCATGTATGTTCTTTCTTTTGTTTTGTTGTTTAGCATGTCGAGCCATGATACTAAGAAAGTTGTTGGATCCATATCGACTACCTTTGGAGCCATGGAGACGACGTTCACTGAGTTGTACGATAAGATTAAATCTTTGACTGCAATGATAATGAAAACTGATACTGAATTTCAAGTGCTAAAGAGGATGTCGAAACGCATTCTTGATCAAGCATCTGGAAGTTCACCTCCCACTGATGTTCCTGTCACGCCTACCGTAAAAAGAGTTTATTATATTGATTCAAACCTAGACTCAGATCGAGATGGCGATGGTTCACACAAGAGGCAAAAATATGCGGTCAAGGAAGATTTAAATGAGTCGGTGAAGGTATATAGAATTTATTTAAACAATTTGCACTTGTGTCATTTTAAAGTGTTTATGATGTACCTATGTATTGTAATTTTTGTTAAATTCAAATCGTAGATGGAATCTCCGGTGACTGCATCTGGAAGTTCAGCTCCCACTGTTGTTCCTTTCACACCTAGCGTAAACGGATTTATTTATATAGATTCCGACTCAGACGCAGATGGCGATGATTCACACAAGAGGCCAAAAAATGCGGCTGTGGAATATATAAATGTATCGGGGAAGGTATATAGAATTTATTTAAAGAAATTACACCTGTGTGATTTTAAAATGTTTATGATGTACCTATGTATTGTAAGTTTTGGTAAATTCAAATCGTAGGTGGAATTTCCGGTGACTGCAATAATGGCGTTAGATAATGATGAGGATCGTTCCATTGCGTGTTTCATCTTTGGTGATGGTCTACAAGATGATAAATGGCTTGTTGAGAATTTTGGCCATAGCTTAAGTCGTCTAGAACTGAAGGACTTGCTGCCAGAAACGTGGCTTCATGGTTATGTAAGTATTTTGTAGTTCTGTTTTGGTAAGGCATACTTGACCACATATTAGCTATACTAATCTTGGGTTTTGCTTATTTTAGATTTTGACTGCTGTAGCTTGTCAATTAGCTGTTGATGTTAGGGCTTGGGGGAAAAAGGGACCTTGGTATCTTCCATCCAATTTTGAGGTAAGCAACAATTATGGAAAACTCTTTATAGTAAGTTTACTTTTTTCTTTCTCCCAAAGTTGAATAGTGAATGTGAACTGCTACCCAGGATTTGGTTGTGAAAATGGGTTGGACTCCAAAAAAAGCCGTGGAAAAATATAATAACCTATATCTTTGCGGCACCTTTGAATGCACCAAGGTATGGTGTAATAATATTAGTAATTTTTCCAGGGTACTATATTCTCTTAATGTTTCGCCCTTTACTGTATAGTCCATTCATTCTTTCGTCATCATTTACTTGTTTATTTATTTCAGATATATTTGCCAATGAATGATGAGAACCGCCATTGGTTTCTTATTTTGGTTTTCATGGACCGAAAGGTAGTGCATGTAGTGGACTCTTTGCATATTGATTTGGGTTTGCTGGAAAATCGTAGGAAAAGGGTGCAAGGAATGGTGGGTGATCAACTATTCCCTTCGTGTAAATTTAGTAAGTCAATTTTCTTTTTTTTTTTAATTTTTGTACTGTAATAGTTACGTGGTTAAGTTTGTTGTTACAGTTGAAATTCTTTTACAAGATGCTTCAAGAATTTCCAGACAAGCCATCAACCTATGAAGTGCCCAAAGTGCATAAGTTCAAAATCATAAGTCCTCCATACGTTTCTAAGCAAATTGATGAGTTAGTATTTCTTTGAGTATTTTGATTATTTCATTTCGATTCACAATCTTATTTTCAATAATAAATGCTATTTTTCTACGTAGCTATGAGTGTGGGTTTTACGTCTGTCAGTGGATGTTGCACGGAGAGGCTGATAATAATTCGTATACGGAGGTATAATACAATCCTTTCCTTCTAAATATGATTCCATCCACGTGAGATTCTACACTATCAAATCGAAATCAACATGTTAAGAGTAATGTTATACATTTGCTGCAGGTTTGTAGTAATAGAGGTCGACTATCCTTGGCCATAAGTTTAGTCAAAGATCTCTCAAATACAAGGCGCTCTCAAATTATTGATGAAGCAAGGGCCGTTTATGAAATACATTTCAAGGGGAAAATCAGCTCAAAATGCCAAAAGAGTTTATTTGATTCATTTTAGAAAAGTAGTTGTTTTTGTTTTATTGGTAGTCGGTCAGTTTTATACTTTTATTGATAGTCAGTCGGTTTTACTATCACTTTGATCCCAATTGAATTCATTTTAGATTGGTTTTGGTGTTTACCTTTATTTTTTCTTAAATCCGAATGTTGGTTCACGTTTTTGTGGCTTTGTTCTTGATGCTTGTTCAGCTGAGATAAGGCTTAAAGAAGGCGCCTAGGCTTGAGCCTTATGCCCCATTCACTTGCATTTCATTTTATGTTTTTTGTTGTCACAACAAAAAATAAGAAATATGAGTAAAAAAACGTGGTTCATTTCTCCTGCAAAAGCAAAACAACAAAATCTAGTTTCCTGGAAATTCAGGGGTTGTTTGGAGGTTGAGATTTGAAGTGAGGTATTTAGCAAATACATGTAATGATAAGATTAAGTCGTTTTTTTTGTTTCATATCAAGTTAGAATGCATGTATTACCTTTTTGTTGGGCCCACCTATAATCATTCAAAATGAATGATTTTAAATATCTACCAAAAGGTGAGATTGTTAACAAGGGATTGTACCTACTTTTTGTTTCATCATTGCCCCTCCAAACAAAGTATTTTTCTAATACATGCATTGAATCAATACATCAAATGATAATACACAAATTGAACAAATACATCTATTTGGAGAATCTCAACCTCCAACATGCCCTAGTCGCGCGTTTCTCCCCCATTCCCAGCGGAAAATTGCTACTGTAGTTAAATGAGGTTCTGGGTTCGAATCACATCACCCAAATTTTTTTTCCTTTACTTCCTTCTCGACCATCATTTTGGAACTTTCTTCCCTCTTAAGTCCACACCGGATAAACTCATAAAACCTGAACCAGTTTCCGCGTCAAGAAACTATTGACCTTTCTCCTAGTCAGTGGGGGTTTTTGTTATCTTTATTTTGGCCCAAAAAACGCTCCAATTCTTGGCTTTGGCTTTGGCCTTTGGATATCTCATATCTTGCCACCGGAGGACGCCGAAGATTATGCGTTCATCGGAGCAAACATAACCATGTTGGATCCAACAAATAGCTTCAATAACAAAATTTTAACCCAATAACAAGTGTATTGTTTTGGTTCTCAACGAACATGAAAAGGGAAAGAGACAAGCAGACAATTCAAACAATTCAAGGGTATTGTTTTGGTTCTCAACGAAAATGAAAAGGGAAACAAAACTAGAGTACTGGCAGGAGAACTAATCAACCAAATATCCAGAATATACTACTACAGGAGAAATGAACCACCATCTCCCTATGAATCTTCTAGTTCTGGATTACGCTCTTTTGGCTTTCCTCCTTGTACCTACGAGTCTGGGCAACAAATCTCGATGCATTACTATTTGCTTCCTCGATGACGACATGTCTTACGTAATTTGTAGGGTGTTGGACCAGATACAAAGCTAGTTGCATTCTCCTTATATCTCCGCATGACTGCAACAGTTTGACAATGACAATGAGGCTTAGTAGCTGTTTCGAAAGGTTGTTTTCCTTCTAGGCCAAGTAGGAGAATTCTTTCTTACCCATAGATTATAAGAAGCATCCCAAGATGCACCCATCATCCATGAGCACACCCAAACGCCACTATCAGACCTACATAAAATAAGATGCATCATATGAGTGATGGGTATCTAAGTATGTTTCTAATTTGTTCACAACGAACAATTCTTACTCGTGACGTTGTTCGGGAATTGAAGGAATTGTCAAAGAAAATTGTTCCAGCACAGGTGGATCAAGCGTTGGTTCCACTTGCCGATAAAGATCCTCAAACAAGTCATCAAGAAATTCGATCTACACAAGCAGTAATCACTTTATTCGGGATAGATGAATACACAAATCAATTTAGAGATATAACTGTATTAGGATCAGGAGGTCAAACCATACCATAGTTACTACGAGATCTTTGGCGCTTTTTAGAAGGATACGAATCCAATAGATGGACTTGTTTGTCGTCCAGCATAATGACAGCTAAATACTAGTGAACTGCATCACCGTCCATTGCATCTTTCATGGGCAGACACACCTAAATAACGACGAAAAAGACCAAACTCAGCTTAGCATTGTAAAATACAATTTATATAAATATCAAAAGCTTGATGGAACATCTAATTTATTCGCATATCCAATTCAAACAGTAGCTAGAAACAGTAATTGAGGAATATTTCAATGAAACAAGAAAGGAATTGTTAAGAAGAAACCTTTCTGCACGTGTGAGCTCTTGCCAAGCACTTTGCACCATAACACTCTAGAGCTTTTTTTTATGTCATGCCATAGTTGATTACGATTTCCTGATCATGGTTCATTTAAAATAGAAGATAACACATTTAATAGGAGAAACGGAATATTGCACCTAAAATAAATATACAAAGTAAATGGGACTATACTTGTAGTTCAGCAGGCAGATAACAGACTACTCTTCCATCTCCAACATTCCTCCAAACTTCCTCCAGGCTCAATTGGCAGCCATGGCTGTAATTACATCATCATCGACATTAGACTTAGGGCAGAGGGACCACAACACCTTTCGTGTATAGGATTGCATCATGGTTTCAACCAGGACTTCCTTTTGTGGAAGATCCTTCGCAAATATGTAGTGGGCAAGGTTCACTTCCTCTCTAGTGTACTTGAGAACTGTTGGAAGTGTAAACTTTGTTTCACCCTACAATAGAAGACGAAACATAAGGATAAAAACAATTGATTTTGTTCTAAGTGGGGAAAATTGGTGGGCTAGATTATCATACCTTCTTGTCGAATTGTAAGTAAGAAAATCTGGTACGGCCTTTCGAAACTAAGTCATTCCAATCTGCCTGCAAATCACCATCAATCTGGATCACACCATCTTCAGTTCTACCTTTCTTTCCTCGAGATTCATCCTTCTCCAGCATCAGAATTCATCATAATAAAAACACAATGCATTATTTAGTTTGGAAGCATAATCTGCCAACGATGGAGAAAACGGGAAAACAAGAATGCAAATTGACGAACCATTAATTTGGAAGAATTTCTGGTCTTGCGTTTTGTCATCATCCTCCCGTCCTTATCGTTCTGCATATTTCTCCTGGTTTCTGCCCCCCTGACCGAGCTCCTGTCCTGAATGAGCTCCTGGTGAATGCAGAAAAGGAGTTAGCATTCTTAAACTAGGGCCAACGGGTGAGTGTTTTTCTCTGTAAGGATACTGGAAACTTTATCTTCCTCATTAACCTCCACATGGAAAAGAAAAATAATATTTTTACCGGTAATAATTAACATGGAAACAATCCGCATCACCTATTTGGAAGTTGAATCTACCATATATAACACGCAAGCATTCTTTAGTATTTTTTTTTCGGTAATTCAAGCATTCTTTATTAGTTGCATTCTTTATCCAACTAGTAACCATAACGGGAAACAATATAATAAAAATTTAAAGTACTAAAATATAAAAATAAACTGTACACCATGACGGAAAAAAATAGAAAAAACTAATAACACGTGAAAAACGGATTAGGTTAACAACAACAGCAAAAAGACCTCTGCTTTGCGCCCGATTCAGCCCCTCCCCACAAACAGCAAAAAGACGGCACACCAATGGAGGAAGAGGGAGATAATATCAACAACAATGAAGACAGCGATGTTGAAATCATACCAGAAACAATGACCTCTGACAGCGATGGTCCTACTGTAGAGGAGGATGACACAAACGTTACTCAAAATTCTCCTTTTATCTGTCAGGAATTCAATCATTTTGAGGATGCATATGCGTTCTACAACAACTATGCTAAGAGTTGGGGGTTTTCTGTCCGTCGCTCAAGGAAGGTTAAGAACGTCAAGGGAGAGGTAACAAGTGCAGCCTTCGTGTGTTCTTGTCAGGGAGTTCGAGAAGCACATAAAGGTCCACAAAAGAGGGAGTCGCCTATGGAGATCAGATTTCAGTGCATGGCTATGTTTCGTGTGAGCTTGAACAAAACAAGCAATAAGTGGGTGGCTGATATATTTAACTCACAGCACACTCATGACCTAGTTAGGCAGAATCAGGTACATTACTTGAGGTCGCATCGAGGATTAACAGAAGCAGACAAGGCAGACCTCCGATTTAAAAAGGATGCCGGAATGAAACCTTCTCAGGCCATTAAGCTTGCTGTGCATTGTGCTGGAGGGCATGACAAACTTGGGTATACAGTTAAAGATGGGTTAAATTTCAGCACCAAAGACCGCGCTGAGAGAATCAGCGAGGGTGATGCAGCAACTGCACTGGCCTATCTAGAATCAAAGAAAAGCACAGACCCACACTTCCTCCTCCGATACACTACTGATGAGGAAAAAAGGCTCCATTTTTTATTTTGGGCTGAGAGCATTTGCAGAGCCGACATTTCGTGTTTTGGAGAGTTGCTCGCATTTGACACAACTTACCAAAAAAAACATTTACAATATGCCACTGGTCATTTTTACAGGCACGCCATCTTAGTATGCCCTCTAAGTATTATCCTTTGCTTTGTTGTTTGAATACACATAATGGCATCTAGAAAACAGCAAGTTTCTGATTATATGAACTCTACCATTGTTTACATTTTCCTCACAGTTTTAGCTTTTCTCCTGCTAGTTCAAAAGATTCTGATTTTTCCGAGTTTCTGTTTGACATTGTAGGTATCAACAATCACTTCAAAACTTGCTTATTCGGGAGTGCACTGTTGCCCAATGAGACTGACGAAACCTATATTTGGGCGTTGAAGATAGTGAAGGAAATGTTGGGGGACATTCCGCTACGTACAGTTGTAACGGATGGGGATAAAGCAATGAGGAAAGCTATTGCTAATGTGTTTCCAAATGCAACACATCGGCTATGTGCATGGCATTTGTCCAAGAATATCACTGGCAGGGTGAAGAATCGACCCGACTTTGAGCCCCAGTGGAAGAAGTTAGTAACTGCTGAGTACGAGCCAGAAGAATTTGAGGAGAAATGGAATGCATTGGTAGAGGAATGCGAACTCCAGAACAACCAATGGGTGTCGAAAAAACTATTTGGGAGACGCAACGAATGGGCGGACACATACTTGCGCTCACATTTCTTTGCTGGGTTGACAACCACATCAAGATGTGAAAGCATAAATGCGGTTGTTGCAAGGTATGAAAATGAGAGGTTCTGTTTGCTTGACTTTTTCACTCAATACGACCGGTGGCTCAGAGACATGAGAGAGACAGAGATTAGATTAGATTTTGAGTCTAATTATGGTGTAGTTCCTATAAAGAATTCAATCCTAAAGCCCCTCGAGCAAAGTGCAGCAAAGCTTTTCTCAAAGGCTGCATTTCTTTTGTTCAAAAATGAGTTGGAGGAGGTTATTGGAGTCATTAAGGTTAACCAAACTGAAGAGGGGAACCTACACACTTACACTGTTACCATGTTCAACAAAGAGAAGGTCATAGAGGTGAAATACAACATTGAAACAAGTGATATGGAATGCAGTTGTCAAAAGTTTAAGAGTATTGGGATACCCTGCGTTCATATGCTATTTGTTCTCAAAGAAGAAAAAGTGAAGACCATTCCTGAAAAACTAGTACTCAGACGTTGCTCGAAGAACCCAAAGTCCCTACACACTCTGCCAGAACCAAGTACATTGGGGGATGACAGTAGTTTCAACATTAGGTACGGGTCGCTACAGTTCATGGCTCAACGATTCTGCTTATTAGGAGCAGACACTCCTCTCTCTTATCGAATGGCTCAAGATGAGTTGACAGCAGCGTGTAACAAGTTGGAGATGGTAAAGAAAACCCCCGCCGAGAGAGAAAGGATTGTCATACCAGACAAGTTCAAAGATGTATTGAACCCAAATCAAGTGAGGTTTAAGGGTTGTAGGAAAGGAAAAGGGAAAAAACCACTTAAGAAAAAAAAGAAGAAAGTGTGGGAACTGCGGGCTAAGGGATGGGCATTATAGGAGCACTTGTACTAACCCCCCAGCCGACGTGGTAGAATCTCAATCTGATGAGGAGGATGACGACGATGACATGGACGATGATGGGGACGATGATGGGGACGACGGAGAAGATGGAGACGACGATGATGGAGATGATGACCAAGGTGGTCAGCCCCAAAAGGTAATTAGCATCTCTGGTTAAGTGTTCTTGATATAGTTATTAGAGTTAATAAACTACAAATGTTATTTTGTTTTTACCAGAAGCAACGAACGAGCAGGCATAATACTACTGGAGAGCCCATAGGGAAAAGTCAGCCACAACAGAAGGTTATATATCATTTGTTTATTCACTAAATTATCGATTTGTTAGAAATGGCTATTAGCTTAAGAGTTTATTTGCCCTCTAACAGATCGGGGCACGTACTAGGAGCAAAACTAGTCAACAAGAGAAGGGAGCAGAGAAGGGAGCTAAGAAGCATACAGGACATAGTGCTGGGAGTACTAGTCGTCATGATGATCGTCCAGGCGATGAACATGAACTGGTACTTTTCCAATCACACTAATGATTTAACCAGCAAGATTAGATGGTTCTTTGTGTTGGAAGTTACATCTTTAATATTATTTTATCTTATTTTGGTCTGGTACAGAAACAACATCAGACTAGAACCCGTGGTGCAAAGAACAGAAGCATCAAGAAAAACAAATGAAGTTCACTAGCACTTCCATAGCAAGAAGTTGAAACGCCCATGGAAAGCAATGACCACTTTTTATTGAGTTTACAATTTCATTATTGATTTTAGGGGACAAAATCTTTTATCTTGGTATATTTCACAAAAGTAAACTCCATCGACACTTTCATATTTTTGTTGGACGAAGGGTACATTGCGGGACATGAACTGTTTGCAATTGAAAGGACATACCTGGATTTTCTTCTTTGTTTTCTTTTTTTTTCTTTTGTGTGAAACAGACCTGGCTAGCTAATGCCTCACGGGTTGCTCCTCCATAAACTGTCAGCATAAGAACAGGTAGATCTTTGAATCGGATGTTGAAGCCAAATATATGGAAACCCATTCATGTGTCTAACCAGTATAGCCGCCTAAATTTGCAACAGTGACATTGGAAATGCGTAATTTACCTCCAGTCTGAAGTGCTTTTTCAATTTGTCCACTTCAGATTACCTTGAGGCCTCAACTGCATTACGAAGAGATATACTATCAATAGAATTGAACAAATATATCATTTTTCGTTGACACTTTTGATTTGTTTGAGTGTATTAGGCACTGTAATCTCAAATGCATTAGAATGATGCAACTCAAATACACGATGGTAGTTTTCATTAAAAAAAATACACTATGGTTGTAAGCATTTGAAAATGCACTCCAGAGAAGTCGGTCCCACGAAAGAAAAATGGTGCATTCTTCAATCTAGGATATGTTCAGTTCTGTAAGTATTTTAGAAACAATTCTAGTCCTTTTCTCGAGGCGATGTTTTTGAAATGGACAAACTGGGGCACAAAGACAATGGCTTAAGGGTTGAAAGCATACCAGTATGAGCAATCGATTGTGGGAGTTGAGATAACATTCAATCGCATCTCCCTGTGGAAGCCCGGGTGGGACTTGCCTCGTCCTTAGTTGTGCCTCAACCACTGTATCATTGAGCTCACTGTCCAGAAAAAAATACAGCAATTTAAGATGGTCAGAGTCAGAATCTCACGTATGCGATTATCGATACAGTAATTGCATGTCAAAGGAAGAACACATGCTTTCTGAAGTATGATCTTCGGTCAAAATAGAATTCGTGAACTCATCATAGAGAATCAACGCATTCTAAAATATAATTTGAGTTGTATGAGAATGAATTGAAATCGGCTGACTAATATCTAAGTACCTCGCTGAGAATAAGAACACCTCTCTTTGAATATTGGCATGCTACAAACTCATAAGTAACGAGATTCATTCTATCTCGCAATGAGGTTACAATCGCCACGTCTGCAAGACGGGAACAGAGATCATGACATAAGCACACAAAGTCGAAATCCTACTAAGGATACTTGTGTAGATCAAGGAACATAAAGGGAAGTGTAACATAAGTTCCACGTCTATAACTTTAAACAACCATGCAAGAAACAGGGTCGACAATTTCAATTGAACTCGGAAAAAGTTGCAGTTAAATTGAACTCGGAAAAAATCTGCCGCGAGAACTGAACGAAGTAGCTCTGATCTATTTAAATGACTTTTATGTTCTATTTAGATTATTTTTATGTTCTGTTTAGAACCCATCTATCAACAAAGGCCAGATCTGTCAACAAACACTCGAGGCTTAGATACTTGTTTTGGATGCCCAGTACCCTGCTTGTGATGCTCCCAGTCATGGCCTTCTCGAAGCACCTTAACTCCTCCAAGTTCCTTCAAGTTCCTCCTCCTCCCCCGATTCGCAAGCCTCAAATCAACATGAAAACAAAACGACATAAAAGAAACGAGTTCAGAAACCCAAAGTTTGGACTCGGTAATTGGGGAGTGTCCAGTCATGTCCTGATTTTTATAGGAACTCAAATAAACGAAATGAAAACTTGCATAGCAACTACCTGCAATCGTTCCTTAGGGGGCCTTTTTAATCCGAGGGAATGAGACCATAGCTGCCGCTCTTACCAATCCAGATTTGTTTTGTATGCATCTCGTGCCAAACAAAGAGGAAATCAAAGAACTGAAAAAGAAAACCAAAAATTCGGGGAATGAAAAGGAGAAGGAAAAGCGAGATTTCACTAACTCTTTATCTTCCAGCTGTCTCCAATCGATGGAATCGTCGACTCTCTCTCTCTCTCTCTCTCTCTACTCGTCGGCAGCAACGCGGAACCGCCGTCGCCAGTCGATGGAATGATTGGAATCGTCAACTCTCTCTTCCTCTCTACTCGTCGGCAGAAACGCGGAACCGCCATCGCCTCTCTCTCTCTCTCTCTCTCTCTCTCTCTCTCTCTCTCAGATTGACGACATGCAAGATAGAATGAGAATGGGGGGTCAGAATGAAGGAAACGTTTCTGGGGGACGAATTCTAAAGACACGCAAATTTTTGGCGGAAAAAAGCGCTATTCTGAGAAGGTAAAAGCCAAATTTTAACAATTTTGAATTTTCTTTTTACGTTGCATTTTGCCGCTACCATTATGTACACTTTTTTTTACACATTTTTGTAATGAAAAATCTATCTATCTATCTATCTATCTATCTATAAAATATATAAAGGGGTTTCTCAAAAACCCCTCATCCACGTCAGCCTCTTGGCTTCCCCGCAACTTTCGGGCTTCTTTCTTTTCAATTCACCACAAATAACAATTATCATAGTTTCAATATTAAAATATGAAATTAATTTCGTATATAACTAAAATCATAGTCCAGGCATGGTTAAATAATTTTATACAACAAAAATCACCTATCGATTTAGATTCTATCATGAGTTTTTTTATTGGACCACCAGTACGGTACAATGGTAGTTCAACCGTGGTTAAATCATTACATACAGCTAAAATCATCTAACGATTTAAATTCCATTAGAAAATTTTCTATTATACTACTGATAATAACAAAATAAAAAATCAAATACGGGTTAGCAAACAATACTTCTAATCCTATGAGAAGTCGCAGCAAAGGGCGACACAAAATCTACCTAGTTGTTTATAAAAACTATGCACCTAGCCCATAACCTAGGTGATTGTGTTTTAATCTTTTAGATACAAAACTCAAGTGTTCTTTTCCTTTATTTCAAATACTTTATCATTTCATAATTTTAAGTCACTAAGCATTTAGAGAATCATAAAATAAAATAAAAATGTTAGCTCCTTCACTTTAAATCTTAACTTCATGTTAATCTCCAAATCGTTAAATATCATTCCTTCAAATAAAAGACACATCCAAAAAGTCTACAACTAACACGATGGTTGTCAAACCGGTGATATGTTGGTCGGTAAAGTTAATATTAGACATAAACCTACCCCATTATGAAGTGGAAGTCATTATCGGTCAACACATGTGGTCGAGCGGACGACAATTTCCGGCTTCTAAACAAAATGACGTCGTTTTGATAAATTTATTTAATTTTTTGTGTATTTAAATATGATAATTTATCATTTTGTTTATGATGATGAATTAGATTTAATATGAATTTTGATGTTATTTTTTTAATTTAAAAATAAATGTTTGGATGTTGACGTATTTAAATATAAGGTTTTTTTAGTTTGTTTACAATGTCGTTGTTTATTTGAATATGTGTGTAGCTTAGCTTGTAGTGAAATTTTCATTATTGGATGAATGAAAACATACGAAATTTTATAAATACCAACTGAGAATAGAGAGGATTAAACCAACGAAAAAACCCACAAATAAAAATGCTTAAAAAATAATGTGTTGTAAATTGCAAGTGAGAATAAAAGATGAAATTAAATTCTCACAAAAAAATGAACTGAAATAAAAGCTTAAAAAAAACAGTTACATCGTTAACTGTAAAAAGAATTTGTAAAAAAAAAAGTTAACTGTAAAACGAGTCCGCAAATCCGGACATTTTTTTCCTAGTCCGGACATTAGGCGGGCCGAACTTTGGCAGGATTAATAAGCCCAAAATTCCAGCTTAATGCCCGCGAAAACAATTTTAAAGACCCACTATATTTTCTAATATACCCCTACCGAAAATTAAGGAGAGAGCAGGAAAATTTGAATACTGAAAAAACTTATAAAACTCCACTATTATATATTCTGTAGATAGCGTAAGGACGGTGGGCATTGCTGTCAAAATACAAAAATAAGGGTGTAAGTATTGAATCAATCTAATCGTATGTATAAATATACAAGAAGCCAGAAATTAACGGGTTAAGCACCATACTCCAAAACCTAAGCCCTGAACCCTAAACCCTAAACCCTAAGCCCTGAACTCTGAACCCTGAACCCTGAACCCTGAACCCTAAACCCTGAACCCTAAACCCTGAACCCTGAACCCTAAACCCTAAACCCTGAACCCTGAAGGAAGCAACTACGAGTCTACGACAATAGTGGTATAACTAGAATGAAAAGAGTTTTCTTATATTGATTGGTACTTTCTGCGTTAGACCATCTTTAGTGGTTGAATCCAAAAGTCCAGATTTTGGGACTATAATTCAAAATGTAGCCCATCAAAAGGTGTTTTGGCATTAGTAATGAGTTCCAAATGTTTACATTTCCAGATATGCATTTTAACTCATAATCCAGTTTTGTGTATATTTCATCATTTTAATTACAAATTTGTTCATTATTTTTATATAGGTAGTAATAATTAATAAAGACGAACATGTCGACAATTTTTTTTTGAATTCCGACAAAAAATATTATATGTAAATATGACGTATTGAAGTGTATTTAACTATTTATAAGAAAATTTTGAAAAAAAAGCCGTTTGGGTTCAAAGAACCGTTGGAGTGAATATTGGTACTAAATGAGTAAATTTTTCTTTTTCTAATTCTCCAACAGGTGGAAAAATGGCAGAATCCATTCCCCCCAATGCATTTTTCCCGTATCTCCTGTTGGTCCCCGTTATTTGGAACTTTTGTCCACTTGTGTTCCATTTTTGGAACCAATAATTGCATTAAAAGGACCGTTTGGAATTCTGGAACCCTACTAAAAGTGAATGTGGTCATTTTTTTGGAATTCTAATAAAACACCACTGAAGGTGGTCTTAGTGGCGTAGAAAAGGGAAGGGATGTGTATTAGACTATTAGTAGAATATAAAGGGATGTGCTAGAGTTTTAATTTGAGAAGGAAACTTATTAATTTGTAAAGTAAATAAGATATAAGATTTGGTGCAACTAAAATCACGGCATATCTTCTCCTTCCCAATGTTTTTACACGGTTGAACAGGTTAAAATTGGGTTCATCTCTTTTTAATTCTTTAATATATTATTTAATTAATTATATATTAAATGATTATTTTTTGCAACACAATTTGGAAAAATGTTGGGTAAACTGTACTCATACGCAACCCTTGTGATTTATGTTGGGTTCATCGGTATCTTTGTGTATCTGAGGCCATGTGATTGGGAGGATTCATGTACCATTCAGATTCAGTTGATGGGGTATCCCACTTGAGGAGACTTGAGGTGGCTCAATAAAGTAGCGAGGGAACCAAGGAAGATTATCGGCTATCGCAATCCTTCGCTGAGAAGTTGAGTCTTTTCCCAGTCTTTTCCCAGTCTTTTCCCATTCCCTTTCTGTTTGGGGTATAAGAACAGGTAGAGCGTATTCCCATTCTCATATCCGCCAAAATTCTTAAAATCCCCCCCGCTTCCATCTGTGTCTTCACCCGCCATTCTGCAAATGTCGAAGTCGAACCCATCTTCATCGTGGATCGCAAGTTTCAAACCGGGCGACCGGGTCGAGGTCAGCTCCGACGACCCTGGGTTTCTCAACTCCTGGTTCGCCGGCACCGTCATCCGCCGCGAGGCAAAGAACCCTAATCGTTACGTAGTCGAGTACGACCAGCTCTACGAGGACGAATCTGGGGAGAAGCTGCTGCAAGAAACCTTCGATTGGATCCAATTGCGTCCGCCGCCGCTGCCTCCCGGGAAGAAGAAGAAGGTCCAGTTCAAGCTAGGCGACGAAGTGGAGGCCTTCCACAACGACCGCTGGTGGGAAGGGGCTATTACTGCGGAGCACTCCGGCGGGAAATTCGCGGTGTTCTTCAGAGGCTCAAAGGACCAGATTGTGTTTGAAGAGAAAGATTTGAGGTTGCCTGTTCGGTGGGTTAAAGGGAAGTGGGAGCCGCGATTCGAACAGGTTCAGCGGGAGAAAGAGGTGAGCTAATTCGATTTTATGACTTTTCCTGCTCCGTTGCTTGGTATGACAATTTTAGGGAATTTTGAATCTGGATCTAGTTAGGCTGAGGAAAGTAGAGAATTGGGTGATCAGAGATGGCATTTGTTCTTTTTCACAATGTCTCAACCTCTACTTTTCCCAAGGAAGTGATAAACATGCAGATGTCGTTAGACTCAAATTTTCCCAAGGAAGTGATGAAGTTCACTCAAGGAATGCAAGTGGAGGTGACAACTGACGAGGACGGTTTGAAAGGTGCTTGGTTTGCTGCAACAATTATTGAACCTTCGGGTGAAGACAAGTACGTTATTGAGTACAAAACCCTGACGAATGATGATGATACTGAGTTTCTCAGAGAAGACATTCGTGCTTGCAACATAAGGCATTGTCCGCCGGAGATCATTGCTGTGGATGGATTCAAGGTGATGGATGTAGTAGATGCTTACTACAATGAGGGCTGGTGGGTTGGCCTGATTGCAAAGGTTTTGATCAACGACAATTACCAGGTTTACTTTGTTGAGTATGATGAGAAGACAACGTTCAAGCATGCTGATTTGAGGCCACATCAGGACTGGTTAAACGGCAAATGGGTTGTTCCTTCAGAGGTCTGAATTTTATGCTCTCAATTCTAAAAACACTACTAGCCTTTCTTCTTGCATGTGGTGGCGGTGGTTTCTGTTCTCCGTGT